CTTCGTTTTGTTCTTTGTCTGTTTCATTGCTTATAGCGTGGATGGACTTCTTCTCAAATCTATTGCTCTTATTGTCACGGAATGACACCTTTCCCGTTACAGTTCCTAGGTTTTTGTGATTTTTGTAGTCTTTTGATTTCCCGATATCTTGTCCTTTCGGATGTTCAATAGACCTGTGTTCTCTAAAACTAGATGATCTTTCTCTACTCGAGAAACTGTTTCGATCTCTGCTCGAGAAACTGTTACCGGGCCTTTGCGAAAAGGTATTGTTTTGGTAGTCTTTATTCTTGAGCAAGCTTCTCCCGATCAAGGTGTTGGTCACGACTTCTTCGAATATATTCATGAAGGCTTCGAAGTTGTCATGGTCTGTTATGCGGGATTGAACTGCGTGTTTGATGTCCCCGTTACATAGTCCTAGTATCTTATTGATTTGTTCACTAATTGAGAGAAATGGCCATGCAGCATCCATTCTCCTACGCTGCAGAAGAAGCCAGGCTAATGGCTTCTCTCTATTCTCCCATTTGAAGGTGTCTCTGTCGAAAGCTGTGGCCATCCTTCTTTTCCAGATTGGCGTACCAAAGTGGTCCATGATCATCTTTTTCCAATCATCCCATGATTTCTTTTCTTTTATATTGCGCCTTTTAACTGTATACCAGCTTCGCGCCGAATCTGTGAGTATTACTCCTAACTTACAAGTTATCAACGAGTCCGGAATACATGTATCTTCTCTTGTATTATCGATCCACTCAATCCATTCAAGGTGATTATACTCTCCCTCTCCGCTAAAAGTCGGCCAGTCTTTGGCTGGGATTTGGCCTTTTTGTAAGGCTTTCCTTTCCTCTGCCGCTGCTGCCGCTGCGTCTTTCTTTTGTTGTTCTGCTTCCTGTGCTGTGGAAAGTAATACAGCTGTTTCTAGCTTCGGAGCTACCGTTGTATGTTGTGCTTCGTGCTTCTCGCTATAATCTACGAAAGGATTATTTCCTAAAACTTGTACAGGTACTTCGTCTCTGTCATTTGCTTGTCTATCTATCATGGAGATGATTTTGGCTACGTGTCGGTGCAGCAAAACTATTTGGTGTGCTTGGTTATCTAGCTTCTCACCTAGTCTACACATCATTTCGCTAAGATGTGTGCTGTGTATCTCGATCATCTGTTTACATGCTAAGCTATGCTTATCTAGAATTTTCTCAATGCTGTGTTTACCCTCTGCGTGTGTACCTGCGTTTCTTTCCGAGAGTATTTCTTCTCTTATCTCTAGCACATCTTTTTTAATGTCGTCAAAATTCAAGGTTAGTTCATCATTCAGCATATTAATACCGAAGTCCCATTTCTCACTCAGTATTCTTATATCGTTGTCTAGTTTCTGTTCTATTGATTTCTGGAGGTTTCTTATCGTGTCTGATACTTCCTCTCCATGATTTATCGCTGTTGGGTTGTATTTCGGCGACAGGCTCTCCGTTTGTAGCCTTAGCTTACGGAGTTTATTTGCTAAGCTAAAGTCTTTGTCTAATGACGTGCTACTGAGCCCATCCGTATTATCCCTAACCGGTCCAGCTGCTACAAACGGAGATATACCGTGCTCGGTTTCTCTCAGTATATCTTCGATACTTTTAGGGTGCGCAATGAATTTTGATTCCTGAATCAAGTTGCCTGGTTTCCTCTTCCTCAGGGAATTATTACTTACTTGATCCTGCTGATCGTGTCTCTCTAAGTCATCCCGGTATTTGATCCGGTCTGAAATGCTCTCAGTCTTACTCGCATTGTCAAATGATGGAACATTTGTGGGTACAGTACTCTCTCTTTGTTCGAATCTGGGGCTCAGATGTCTGTTTTGTTCATGGACAACTTCATGATTCATTTCATTCGTCTCGTAATCTCTTTGATTACCCTCCTTAGTTGGTTGAACAACTCTTTTGTCTACTACATGTAAAATAGGACTTCTAGTTACATTGTTTTCTATAACAGGATTTCGATCACCTAAGATACGATGAGATGACAAAAATGGGCTTGGAGTGGCCGTAAACACAGTTCTTATTTGTGAGAATGTTGGTCTTTCGCATTCTTCTGATGCCCCTTGCCTTTGGATTTGTTGATCCCTTTCACTGCTCAATAGTACGCCTTGCTGAACGCCAACATCGAGTGCATGTTCTGGGCATCTTCTTCCGCTTGGGGTGGCTTCTTGTACGGTTCCTTGGTTTGCCGATGATTGTCGTGACGGACTGGTCCTCCCGACGATGTCGACTGAACTGGTTCTTGGATCTCGTTCCAATCTGGAGACTGGTAAGGTTTGTTGGGGTTTGCTGATCCGTGAGGGTTCTGGTTCAACCCTATGAAACCATTGCTGGTCTTCGCCAAGAGCTTCCTCTCTTCTACATACGGATCCCAGCCTAAGCTCCCCTTCTGTACTTCCTCCTTCCCTAGGATGGTCGTTAAGGCGTCGTGAGACATCTTCCATAATCCAAGAAAGATCGAGATTTGGCGGGTGTTGTTGGGATTCGTATCCTGGGCCGACTTCCAATTCTTGAAGTTGTGTTCGTGAAGTGAAATCAACAGTCGTTGTTGCTCTTGGGGGACCGTCGGTAGTGATTGATCTGCCGGTATGTCCTCTTGCATTGCGTCGCCCTGGTACTGAGCTAACTGAGCTTGCTCTTCGGGCGGTATTGCTGTAGTTCGGTCTGCCGGACTGGCTCTCAATGCTCCTGACTCTGTCAGATTTTCTAGGTGGCATATTTAGGCTTAGTTCGAAGTTAAAGCAGAACTAGGTAAAGTTTTAATGTTACTTACCAGGTTGACCTATAGACAAGGTCTTCAATGTCGTCGTGTGGGTTGTACCCGTTGTATGACCCTGGACTGGCTGGTTGTTCGGGCTCTGGGCTGTCGAGTTCAATGGGATCTTGCCTACTCCCTATTCTCCTTTCGTTAGAGCCTGATTGGACTGCTGCGTTTTGGTCACTAGGTGGACCGTAATGTTTTATCAGTGAGTTTGATCTTTTCTTTTGTTTTACTATTTTGTACTCACTCGTATTCTCCTGCGTCGAGTCTTATGGCCAAAGCTTTTAGTTTCTTGCCAAGCTTCCAGAGGTCTCTATACAACTCCGCCGGTAGTGGTTCGTTAAATAATTTAACCCTTACGAATGTAAAGATTAGACTTCCTAATGATTTATTAATCGCTAGGAGTTGAGTTAACACTGAGTTTGCTTCGTCCGAAATTTTGAAAGAGATACTGTAATCTAGGACTGAGCACGTGGTATCCAAAACACTGATTATAAATCTTGTCCGTGAAAGGATTTTCTTGGACAAAAAGGTAGTAAGGTAGTTCTTTGAATAGATCTAACGAGCACTGATCTATCAGATGGAAAGAAATTGTGGGATAGAAAATGATAACAGAAAAAAAAAATTGATATTTTTTTGTGGGTTTTTTATTGGTTTTCTAAAGCAAAAAAAAAAATATATATTGAAAACTAAAGCACGTTTTCTTTTGTTAGTCTTGGGTTATTAACACACAATGAGGCCCCCAATTGTCAGGGTGGCTACTGTTATGACTCACGAATTGGTCTAGTCAACAGTGTCGTGAGAAGATCCTGACCGTTTTTCCGCTGGGTACGGGGAATATGTAGAGTTATCTTTCTAGGAGGGAATACATAGAAAGCTTATGATTAGTAATTGCTATTCCAAAATTATACTTAACAAGTAAGTCTTGTACTACAGGCCCACTGTAAGGTAACAGAAGTTGGCAGGTCACGCCTGAGCCGTAGTTATCTCTAACTCGAGAGTTAAGAGCAGCCTGAGACTTTGAATCTACAGGGATCCCGCCAACAATATAGTTGCGAGACCTGGGTCCTTGACCAGAAGAGTAGAAGAGAAAGACTAACCGTTAATTATGTTTAACGAATAGGACAACTCGGTGGTTTTGTTATAACTATATAGAATAGCAAGGTATGACTCTGATTCTATAACTGATTTCAAAAGGGAACTAATGTGACTATTCTTTGGGAATTTCTTATTAGCTAGTGATCGAAAAAAGAAGAGTATTCTAATTAGATAATGGTGTAATCTAGATAGAATTTTGGGTTTGTAAAATCAGGTGAGTCCCTTCTTATTTTTGATTAGTCGTCCAGTATTTATACCTTCTTTTCTCAGTCATCCTCTTCTCAGAATTCTGACTCTAGCTTTGGTCTGCTTATTTCCAAGCTAGCTCAGCATCTCGTCACCGCCGTCTTACTAAGTCGAGGAATACTACGTATGTATTTACGTATTTTCCTTATATTGATCAAATAGTTCTCAGCGTTTGTTTCTTGGCATTCTACCAATATTTTACCTAATATTGTTGATTTTACTCGTCTGTTCAGGAGTTCTAGTCTTTGGTCTCCTCATTCCTTATTCACTAATCACGGACTTTCTGGTACCATTCTTCTTTGGCTTATCTTTGAATGTAAGTTCTGGTCCGGCCTAGTGTTCCTCTTTGGGTACTCTTATCTAGCTATACATTAATTTCATATGCTCTCCTGTGAGTGTTCTAACTCTTACTTTGGTTTTTGTATATGCTCTCCTGTGAGTGTTCTAACTCTTACTTTGGTTTTTGTATATTCATGACTTTTGATACTAAGTCTATAAGATGTTTTTGTTTGTTTCTTCAAAACGGGTATGTTTGTGATTTGTATATTTTATTTTGTATTGTTTATTAGCTCTTTGGTGTTTTCAATACTTAGAAGTTTCTTGACCTTCGAAACTAGGTCTATAAGTTGTATATATTATAAGTGTAATCTAAATGTTAAATGATATATGAATTTTTATAATTATTGTAGCTCTTCTGGTTCTTATGTGTAAGAGCTCGAGAGCTGACAGAATCCCATTTGTATCGATTTGGTCTTGGACTCGGACTCCGACAAAGAAGGTTTCACGGTACCTACAGATTTGATTGATCCGGCTCCAGTTACTCAACTCGATGATCAGGTATGTCATTTCCATCTTCCTATTTCTTGCACTCTCAATACGCAAGAATGTTTACACCAAATATTGTGCCTAAGACCGATACAAAGCCCTTGCCATCGGAGTTGAACAAGTCCAATCCTCAACCAACCCAGCCTTTACAAGAATGGCCCGGCAAAGGTCTCCGTGTGTCATCACTCCTTGAATGGTACGCGGCGTCGACAACTCGCGGAACTCGGACACCGCAGTGGTTTGAACGATTCGGAAAGGAGTATGAGTACGAAGATCAAACAGTCCATCGCTACTGGAGATGGGTGGACAAAGTCAGTTATGAGAGGTTTCAGAAGTGGCATCAGGAATGGCCTTTGGTGGGTGATGTCACTCAGGAAAATATCCTTGTTAGTCAAGCAAGGCGTGTTTTTCAGCTTGAATTCAACGCAGTCGCCAGGTTAAAGAATTCACTTGTGCATGAGCGTGGACTTGGTGTGGGCAAGGGTCCTCGACCGGTTGTTCCGCGGAAGAGGAAAAACGATTCATGTTTATCTTTGTTATGTTGTTTCCCTACTTCAGGTGTCAACTACATTCTTTTTTTGGGCGTTGTTGTCACCAGGTTAAATTCTCGATACTTCCCTTTTGTCCCTTTTGTCCACTACATCATAGATCTGTCTGACCCTGAAAATGAAAATAATTCGATATGTGCGTGTCATGCCTGGTTCGTCGTGGCCGTATATTGAACCCTTTGATTAATTATGATATGACCAGATCAACTCTGCACATACATCGGAAGGTGCTTGTTATAAAACGTAGTGATTCATGACCCGCCTAGTACAATCCTCTTCATCTCACTCACTATCTTTCAACTGTTTCCATTTCTTTTCATCTTTTTCAATCTATCACTCTGCCTTGCAACTATACATATATACGCTCAAATCAGCACGATCAAACATTTGGAGACCCACCTCATTGCTGTGAACAAAAAGTCGCAAGGCTTGACCCAATATGGAAGTGATATATTTATACAAAACTTTCGGATTTGGTGGGTACATATAGCTATAGCGCAACACTATATTCTACTTACGTTCCTTTCATTCCACAGGTTCACGTAGCATCCATATCACTGCATCAGAAGACCTCGGATGGAGGGCTCTGCCTTTTGATAATCACGATCAACCACAAGACCTAGACACCGACTTGGTCTTTGCGCTACTTCCACTGAGCGGTGATTGGCCACAATCAGATGCCCTTGACTACCAATGGGCTTGTAAACCTGCCAATGTGGATGTGGACCAAACTGGTCGTATTTGTTATTGGGACGGCCGTACCACCCATCACGCTATCATCAATTCCCCAAATCCAGCCATCGATAACATCCTTTTGAATGCATGTGCTCTTGATGCAAATCACGACACTCTGAAGGATCATCTTTGGTTCGCACAGATGTTTATCCATGCAGCGTGCCTTTTTGATAAATTCTGAATCGTCCTTGAGGACAAAATCGAGTTCACTTCGAAACAAAACAAACGCCTTAAGAACATGCGTGTAAGCCTACTAGATCTTGTGGTTTGCCTGCCAAGCGCCCGACTTATATATCTTTCTTTCTGCTTCTTTAGTTTGTTCAGAACGTGGTCTTGTGTAAGGGGAATGTTGGAGATGGTGAACCAGAGAAGCGTTGGTTCAATCTCCGTGAACCACTGGCTGGCGTACCAGTTTTCATCATGTCAGATTGTCAGTTTGATCCACGACATCACGCCAAGGGATTTTTGGGGGAGATATTTGCCTGCTTCACTCACTGGAGCTACGAATATCATGGCAGACATGCTCTGATCTGTGGCTTCCGTGGTATTGGTGAAGTCATCACTGATCTTACAATCATGGACAATGAGTACGTCTTTCCTACCTGTCTGTCGCATTCACAGAAACCGATTATTCGTTGGATTTCATATGTAGACGTCCTTGGTTTCTCCACAATACGTTTACTGGGGGATTGCAGAGCTTTGCCTTGAAACATCAGTGTTCGAGCGTATGTGATGCAATTGGCTTGACCAAACCGCCACCGTTCTATCCATTGGATGCATGATCATCGATTTCCTTTGGAGTATGACGGATTCCCAACACAATGTCCCCATGCCCTTCAATTCAAATCTTTTCCCCTTGTATGTCCCCTGCATGTATGAGGTTTTGGTTAGTCTTGTTTGGAGATTGTGTCCTACGGTTCGGTGACACTTGTATCTAGCCACGTAGTGTAGACTGAAATAACCAAGAAAATCTATCATGACGCACATGTCCTTGACATACACCCTTCGAGAGAATATCCTGATTCAAACACAAGCATTTAGTTTCTCTAATTGCGTATTAGAGAATGGTTCCACAGGAAGGTTTCTTAAAACCTCTTAATGGTTGGTGTGTATATAGGTACATGATCATGATTATGTTGGCCATAATCAAGTGAATTCATGCTGCTGCTGCCGGAGAAGTATAGGGAAGGTCAGATCATAAATATAAACATTTGGTTCCGATAGGAGGGGAGGTTTCCAAAGGGGAAGGTAAAAGATCCGTTCAATTTTTTTCAATGGATATATTATATAATATCCATTGAAATGGTCAACATTCGAACTTGCAAATGAATAATCAAAGGGTCTGCAAAAATTCCAACAAATATATAATGTTATAGCATACATGTTCTCCATGACCTCTTTTATAATGAAACCCTCATAGTTCTCCCGTGTTTTTAGCTAGATACATCACATCCTATCTTTGACCTCTTGTATATTCCAAGCTAAAAGAATATACATTCTACATCATCTCCCGTACTTTTAGATACATAGATATTCCCACGAAGATGTCATTAGGTTGAAGGATACTACAAGATTCAACGTACAGTAACAGGCAAACTAGACGTCACATCAAAAGAATTAACGCAAAGGGCTTCAACAAATCGAGGGAGGGGGCAATGTCGATTGCTCTCAATTTTAAATCATTAGCAGTGTAGGCAGCAATGAACTCACCTCAAAACCATCATCCAAAGGATACATTAAAATTTTTGTATACCAATATACTCCAACGTTGGCCGGGCAGCCAAGGCATCACTCAGCCATATGTTGCGAAATTCAACCATTTCTTCCAAAAAAAATTCATACCGTGTGGCTTGCGTGTTGCGACACATGGATGCAAATCCTCCGTACCAAATGTTACTCAGCTCACCGGCTGAGGCGTTGAAGATCCAAGAACCATTCTGTTACAAGTCGGGGAATTTTTTCGGGTCAGTGTACATTTGACAAAAGCTATTGCTCTCTTTATGAGAGCGATGATGGAAGGGGTCCACCGGAATGACAGTGTTTTCGAAGGGAGTCGGATCCTTGTCTCCATTATGTATCACTCGTAACAGGTTGCAGGCATTGTCGTAGAAGATCACTTCCGGGAGACCATCGGGGAACGCTTCAACAAGATAGTCCTTTCAGCCAGGCAGTACATATGTCAGTGTTCAGTATAACCGTTCCAAGAAAGGAGCACGTGAAAATAAAGGCAACTAACTCTCAGGGCACTTGGTGCTTCTGCGTTGTAGAAAGTACACCAAGACAATATGATACCGCACGCACCAACGATCAGTTGGTCATTATGCGTTCGGGAGCGGCTCAACACCGGAGTACCTTTGGGCTTAGCGGCGCCCCCGTCACAAGCAGCCTCGTGTTCTCGATCGGCCTCGTTGGCTTGGTGGAGGGCGTCAAAATCAATGAGTTCCGCGGTGTCAGGATGCAGGTGGACCGAAGGGTCCGAGGGAAGGTGAGATCCAGGGCGGTTGAGCATGGATTTGAGCGAGAAATTCTTCTTTTTTAACGCTTGAAAGGCCGTTAGAGCTTCCTTGTGTTTTTGGCTTTTGCATGTTTCCGATCCAGGTTCAGCAAGTTTGGTGCAAGGTTGCGCCACGCACCATCCTTTCAAAGTTTCTTCATGTTCGGCACAAAATCGAGAAGTTACTTTTGGTAACGCATTCAGGCACGGGCCATCAGGAGGAGGAGCCCCGGCGCGATGAGCAAGCGCTTGGAGCTGGGCCGACGATGCAGTGCACCGCCAATGGCCTATCGTAAGGCCGTCGGTGACCACCTCTCGGATGACTGAGGTGATGAGGTAAGCAAAACGTGACACAGCCATGAGTAAATTCATCCTTAGATCATTTGATTCCGCATGCTTACTTTTTACTGTTTCTTTGCCTTCATGCTCAATCGGATACGTTCGCACACACAACGAACAAAAATGATCACGGTGTAGAGCTCCATTATTCGCAATATAATGGAGCTCTCTAATCATCGCGGGTAGTAAACGGTCGGTGTTGTCTCCATGGGCACTGACGTGCAGCACGTATCCACGTCGCTCACATCTTTGCAGCAGGCTGAATATGTCGACCCCGTCGCGCGCGACTTCTTGCGAGAGCTTAGGACAGATTAGGCAGTTGCCTGAGTGAGTTGGGACTTGCTTGCCCTTGAAATTGGTAGCGTTGTATAAGTTGACGAGATTGAAATTGGATATGCTGAGGAAAATGTAAAGGTGATTGTCAGCCCGGGTCTTCCTGCAAGATCTTATGCATGGAGACTGACTGCGCTAACATCTGCAATTGCCGGAAGGACATTGCTAGACGGTAGGTCATGCCAAAGTGGCAGTGTACCTGGTAGTGATCCGGGTGGGCTCCCTGGGCTTTGGTGTAGTATACACGTGTTTCGTCTGTGGTGTAATACGACGGTCGGTAGGTGGCACGACAATCTGCAAGTTTTTAGTTGTCAGTGGTGGCGTGGTCAAGGTAAACAGGTTTTCATCATTTGCAGGTATGCTAACGTACCTAAACAAGAGCAGGTATAGAACTCGGCGGAGTGGATACCGTCAAGGTCGTACACATAGCCAAGCCTTCGAGGGCGAATCTCAAGTGGTCGTCCGGAGGGTTGGTCGCAAACTAGGCAGATTGAAGTAGGTGGAGTGAGATACACTTCGTGAATCTTCGTTGGAAGTTTAACCTCCAGGCCATGCAAGCGTATGAGATTGGCAGGGTTAATGTGCGCGAACGGGACCGATGGAAACGTAAGATTCCAGATAGCTTCGTACTCGTCCATGTCCAGGTCAAGTTGCAAGGCGAGGGACAGGAACGGTAGGACCCTGGTGTCAGCTGAGGTAAAATTCAACGCATGATCAGCCCGGTGGTATACCTCACTGGCGAGGTTGACAAATTTGACAAGGTTGGCGAGCGTGAGATGGCGTGCAAGTTGCGGATGTTCTGCTTCTAGACGAGAGGTGAATTCGGTGACGAGCATGTCTCCACAAGACCAACTGTAACAGTGAAAGGGATAGAGCAAGATAGAGCGAATAACACGTCCGTCAGTCAGCACATCTTCAGTTGGAGATGAACGAATGGGAAAGAGGCTGACTAGTGCGGAAGTCGAAGGGGTTGACCATTAAAGGTGATGATGGTGTTTCTGGTTGCAGCAATCGGGGGGTAGACGAGGCTGTACACAAGCGGGGTACGACCATACGACCGCCGACCGGATGTCGGTATAGAACCATAAACAGTACAAAAGTGGGAGCAGAGGGTCCCGCAGCCGATCACGTGCGAGGCGCGATGTCACGTCTGTGGTTGCAAATGTTTCTGAATACAAGCATAACTGTAGGGCTGTATGATGCTTTTACAAACATTTATCGGGTGTCTTGTGATAGTTATCACAAGACATACGAAATCTCGATCTACCCGTTGGTTTCAAGCTTCGCTGATGCGAAAATCTCAGTGGTGGAATTATCATTATACAGTCAAACCGGAAAAGCTTGACCGATTTTGCCCGCAAAACTCGAGCAAATTGGCAGGGAATTGGTGGCAAGCTTTTCCGGTTTGACTGTATTACCACCGCCGAACCCGTAACTAGCCTACTCAACCTTAGCCAATTGAGGAGTGGGCTAAGTGTGTTCTTTGTTACATTATGTGGGCGCATCCAGCCTGACGTTTCAGAATGTGCTTATTGGGTCGCTGAAGAACTGGAGAGATCTGGAAAAAGTACCTTAGGCTTGATGGTTTCGTTCAAGTGCGATGCCACAAGCATATCACACCTTAAATAGCCTCTTCAATTGACTGAGGCCAAGTACAAGAAAGTACGGAGGTTACAACACGGCAAAAATAATCGAACAAAGTATGATGCAAAATTGTACATAAATCTCGTTATCGCAAGCGTAGAATCTCAATCCTTTTGAACGTTTACCAGAACAGATACAAGATTTTTGTTGGGGGCAAAACCATTCTACAAAAGGCCAGAGTCATCATGATGAGTCCAAACAACTGTGATTCTTTCATGGCGGGTTTCCAAAAGTGGATAAATAGTCACTCACTGTATCTACGTAGTACTGCGAAAGGGTCAATCGGTAACTAAAATCGGATGAGCACCGGAAGACAAAGATCATGAGCTAAAAACGACAGGGAACAGTCAAGTAATATGTTAAAGGCTTCACGTCTTGTCAAATCCATCCAAAAATTTGTCTGCAGCGGGTAAAGTGACATCCCAGTAATAAGTTTGCTCGTCCTCCTTGTATGTTGCACCGGTATCCTCAGGGCCAAGGCTTGCTACAAGTGGGCGACCCAGGGAGATGAGATCCTTTTCTAAGCCGTTGAGTCCAAGCTGCCAAGCGATCTGTGAGACGGATGGAGACGTAGCTATTGCAATCCCAAGCCATTGGAGAGCTCAGTATGATTATCAGTCGGCGGTCAACTCACTCAATATTTTAAGTACACTGACATTGAAATTTCAACTGTAGGGTGACTTTTTGTCCAGGTTTGACTACTGTGCCTGCAGCAGGAGATACAAATGTCAAGTTCTGCCCGAGAACTGATGTTGCAAGGACAAGCATTAATCCAGCAGTTAAGAACTTATAAGATTGCATCTTTGGAAGTTTGTTGATAGTATGAAAGGACCTATGAGTGATAGGTTATGGGTAAATTGACAGTTGAGATACACCGGATTATCATATATCTGGACTGAAATTTGAGCGTCAAATATATGTGGTTCGAAGACGTTGGAGGGGTAAATGAATCATTGCTTGAGGCAGTGTCAGAGGTTTCTAAAGCTCAGCATGGACAGATGAAAGGAGCACAATAGATCTTCGAGTCCAGTGCTTTGCGACCGTTCATCCATTTACCGATCGGTGATGGCTGACATGATCCACTTCGACCGCGAAGTCTGCGTTGGCGCCGGCAAATACGGAGATAGGATCCTTGCTGCGCAGACAGGCACAGCCCACTTGAATCTTACGATGTTGTTAGATATGTATCTGTGACTACAAACTGATCAAAGTCCATTTTCATCAGTTTAAAGTTTGATAAGTTTCACTACAAGAAAGATAATATTTTCTGGGCAGAAAATTAAATTATCGATACACAAAAATATTGAGAGGCCAGGAGGAGAGCAAAAAAAGAAAAAAAAATGCATCTTGTTCCCCGCGTTGAGAACTTCACTCTGCATATTTTTCCGTATTTTTACAGTCCATATTGATAAGTGTACTAACAATAAACCTCCACAATCATCCAATTACAACCTGTAACAAGCACTGAAATTTGGCTCATTAGTGTTTAGAGAAACTTTTGATTTCTGAAAATACTCATAACTTTTTCAATTCCGGTCCAAAACGCTCGATTTTGGGTGCATTGGTAAGCTGGAATTGTCCTCCAAATAGCTCATAATAGGACCACACAGCATGCTGGTCTGCTAAAAAAGATATCACCTTTTTTATACCTTTGTACATACAGATCCATAGAATGATTGGCATACTAGCTACATAGTTCTTGATCTTATGAAAGTTTGAGAGAAAGAGTTCAGCTTTCTAATGCACTTAAAATCGAGTGTTTTGATGCAGATTTGACAAAGTTATAGGTGTTTTCAGGTATCAAAAGTTTCTCTAAACACCAATGAGCCAAATTTCAGTGCTTGTTACAGGTTGTAATTGGATGATTATGAAGGTTTATTGTTAGTACACTAATCAATACGGACTGTAAAAATATGGAAAAATATGGAGAGTGAAGCTCTCACCGCAGGGAACAAGATGCATATTTTTATTTATTTTTTGCCCTTCTCCTGGCCTCTCAATATTTTTGTGTATCAATAATTTAATTTTCTGCCCAGAAAATATTATATTTTGTGTAGTGTTTGTTCTGCAACTGAAATCTGGGCATCAATTTTTTTCTGGTTCAAAGGCATTTGATCAGGGGTAAATGAATCATTGTTTGAGGCAGTTTCAGAGTTTTCTAAAGCGCGGCGTGAACAGATGAAAGGAAGATGAGAAATCGTCTCCAGGGCTTCGCGACCATTCATTCATTTACCGATCAGTGATGGCTGCCATGATCCACTTGACCACAAAGTCTGCGGCGGCGCCGGCAGATATGGAGATAGATTTTTTGATGCGCAGATAGGCACATCCCACTGGAATTTTATTCACTGGTGTATTGTAATGGCGATCCTCTGCAAGAAGAGTCAGTTTTATTTCGAAAGTTCTGATATTTTTCAGGGATAGACAGCGCAAACAAATTGATCTATTTGTGCTCATAACCAAGTCCAACGCAAATTCTCCTCGCGCATCTTTCCCCAAACTACTCAAGTCTTCATCACAGTTTTTGAATTCATCATCATACTACCCAAGTCTTCATCACAGTTTTTAAATCCATCATCATAGACATAGTGCACGATAACTCTCTCTGCAGGACAGGATGAATCTTTGCAATGTGTTTTTTGCTGTGGCGTTTAGCTCTTTATTACCATCGGTACTGTCTCAAAGATTGACCATCACTTCTCCTGAGCCCAATGCGGTTGTGACACCGGGCGCTGCTACGGATATAGTACTTCACTTGACATGTGAGGCTCAGTACTTATAAATTCTAGTGGAAAAGCGCACCTGATCCGATTACTGGCCTGCTCTCTTTTGAACAGCCACCACCTCCTCCGTAAAGCAAGTCGCATGCACCCTTGGCCTGCGACCCGTAGGCGGCGGCAAGGCCCTCTATGTTTCCAACACAGCTTTCAATGCAAACGGACCAAAATTTGATGAGCAAAAGCTTACCTATACTTGGACAGTGACTTTACCAAGTGCCGACAAGTTCGGAGAGGGGATAGGCCAGAGGTGCGTGATGAACTCTACCCAGATTAACTTTTTCGAGTTCACTCGTATGACCCTAACCTGACCACAATGTTCTTGAGACTCTTAGTTACAATTTAACACTCTCGCAATATTACTTGATCAGTGTAAGTCCTTCAGTGTATGGAATCACCAATCAAATTAAGAACTGGCTGACACTCGTTTGACACGATTTTACATTATCGGGATTGCTTGGATTTTAAATTACAGGCTACCAGCACTCCAGTACTCTCCGAGTTTTCTAGTCTTGTTACTGTTAAATAAGATCTTGTAATGTCCTCGGATCTTGTTACCTGGTTTGCTGTTTGTATCTTACAAAAGGCAGGCCTTTGGCTAAATTCAGCCATCCTGACCGTCTTGATACCCAAGCAAGATCTTTTGCAGCGAAACCTAGTTGAATACATTACATTCCACAGCGAGGTTGTCTACAGGAAGGAAGGGAAACCTCAAAAACTGATGATCCTGATTTGATCTGTTTTGTTTGAACCCACTCATGGCATCAGTGGAGTTGCGGAATTTTGGGGCAAACAAAATTATGCATAAATCATCCATTCCAATGATCCAAGATCTTCATAAAGATTAAATACTGGAGCTCATATTCACCTTGGACGTGATTGAGTCATCTGAACTTAGTGGAAATCAGGAAAGTAAGACGGACTTGTCTGAGCATCTGTAAATGTTTGGAGCCTTCTCTAAGACTTTGGCATTTGCATGTGTTTTATGAGCTAATCCTGATATAGGATTTATATCATACTTGTCTATGCTAACTTGAGCATCTGGTGAGTCACAGATGCTCTCTACTCACCATTATCCCAATGTAGTTGATTTCAGAAATCTCATAAACTTCTCCCACAAACCTCAATCAAAGTGGTGTGAAATTCTTTCCAAGTGTTGTGTGATCAACTGTATCCCATCTTTATTGCTGGCCATGCATATCTACTGCTGTACTAATCATTTCTGGATTTCATTCTGCTTAGTATTTCTTGGTCCTGACCTTAACATATATGGTCATGTTGAGAATCATTCAATAAACTCTCACAAAATAACCTCTCTTGGTGAGATTGACAATGTAATGGGGAAATGTACACTAGTTTAGTTAGTGTCAATGCATAAATATATGTATTCCATACCTCAATTTGTCACAGGCACATGTATAAACTTGTATCATTGTTTCCTAAAAGATACATCATTTCATGTTACTAGGCTCACTAAAACTAAGCTTTTTCTCTGAAATCCAACAGACCCAGATCACCCAGAATCCAACATACATGGAATCAAGTCTCACACAAGATCCATGAGGGAGAAAATCTTGCAGTATTCTTGTTTTCAGATTGAGTATGTTATTCCATCATGAATAGAAGCTTGCTGTGTTCATCGGAAATGATTAGGATTTTCAAGTTTTACACAAACTCCCATTCTCCCATTGATGGTATGACTTATCTGTTTTCAGCTCTTTCAGTGTTTTGGAAGGAGATTGGACACATCAAGACAATGCCCACCCAAATGGAGAATTTGCATGTAAGAACTTGATTTCAAAATTTTGATCTGTCTGGTTTATCTTTGAGTTCAATAAAATATAACTCCAAGCCTGAAATAGGGTTTTTAAACCAAGGATTTGGAGAGGATATCTTGCAATGTCTTTGTGTTTCCAGAGTGCATTGAACAGTCTATGGGGATCTTCCCAATTTGTGGCCATTCTGTCCTCATTGGAACTTCTCACTTTGAAGAGAGTGTGAAGATCTTGATCAAACTTGAAATCTCTCCACCTTGAAAATATCCCTTTCAGGAAGTCCCATGCACTTGCAAGAAGTATCTGTAGTGTATGATCCTGGACATCTTTGCTGTAAAGTGCTCTCACTAGACCCATGAAAGCCACGGTCAATCTATATTGAGCCATACTGACAGCCTTGACAATGTTTTGAACGTTTCCCTGATGTTGATCAGAACTTGATAGATGCTTGGTTCTACTCCTGATGTGCTTGCCAGCAGCCGAGGTATCACAATCATATACACTCTTGTAAGAGCTCAATAGATGTTCAATCAATGACACAAAGAAGATGTGAACATCTTGACACATATCAAATCCTACAGGTGAATGAAATTGTGCACATTGAGAAAATCTCAGGCAGATTTGATGACCTGTTTTGACTGCTTGGGGTTCATTTGATGATACCCCATTATCTCTGGAGAGTTTTACTCCAGAAAACACAAGGTTCCCTATGCCTGCTCTTGAATAAAATCCACCATGAATATACTTCACATGTAAGTTGCGGAATGTCTGAATCTCTGAATAAGAGTGCCCAAGTGCCTGTCTCCCTAGTTTCAAAACCGTTTGGTGTTGATTCCATTTGTCTATCAAGACTCTAAAGAATTTGAATTGGATATTTGTAAATTGTGTAAGGCTGCTCAGGTATTCAAATGATGAGAGGGGTCTCTTCCCATTTCCTCTTACATAGAACCCTTCCCAGCTTGCTGTCACTCCAAGCTTTTTATGTGGGATGTGTGGATCTTTGGTTATCTGCAGGTTTTGAATACTTTCCAAGCCATTTCTAGTCAGATCCAAGTCTCTCCATGTTTCAAATTCATCTTTGATGAATCTCCACCCCTCTTGCATCATAATACCCAGGGACGATTGATCAACTGTCTTGGCTGCAAATATCTGCATCAGGCCAAAGAAACACATTGTAATTTCAAGGTGAGCTAATCTCATTGCATGTTCAACTGCCTTAACCACAGAATTTTCAGAGGAGTTGTTTTTGATCATATCACTCTTCAGTTCCTCAAACCAAATAGTGGTACTAATACACAAACTTGGTGAGTTGTTCACATAGAATGCACCTATGTTTTGTAGCATGACTAGTGCTTCCTTTGATTGACGTTGTGTATGGGTGAATGGTCTTGATATTTCTTTCACAGCAGGTTCAATTGAAGCAACAAAAGGGTTTTTATGAGGATGCTCTTGTACACCACAATTATAATATCTTCTGGATGATGAAAATCTCTGTAACTTTGGCCCTCTGCATTTTGTAGGAGTATTGTTTTTGAGATGACCACAAGCTCCTGCTTCTGAATCCTCCCCTGAAGAAAAAAGTCTTGCATTGAAGGAAGTAGCGATGGGCCTTAAATTTTCTTGACTGTGAAGAAAGTGTTGGGTCTCTATGCTTTCAGACACCTTCCTTTTTCCCTTTGCAGATGCTTCTGGTATGAGACTTTTCTCTACCACAAATGGAATATTGCAGAAATCTTGTGGTAAATTTTCAGACCCCTGGATGTAATTTTGAACAGAATTTGGAGAAATGTGATTGTTAACCACATGTAAAGGCTGTTGGATTAAATCTCTATATGATTGTCCAAAAATTGGACCCTGGGATTGGCTTGGAAAGGAATGAGGAAACCTCTGCATGTTTTGTAAGTTTGATAACACACCTTCCCCGGGTAGTTCAATGTTCTGGTGGTGATTACTTTCAAACTTTCCTTGAGAGTAAATGTTTTCTTGAGGTGGATTCAAGATATTATATTGGTCCATGTTTGAAAACAGATCTTTGTAGGGCACATTTTGATCTTCCGGAACACTGCTAAAGTCCCCGTAAGAGTTGAGTATATCAGATGTGGATAGATCAGGCTGTGATGGGGGTCCCAGATAGCTATGAGCATTCCAATATTCATCATGAAGATTACACAAGCTGTCTGTTGGAGATTTCAGGTAGGTGGGGGATTCTTCTGCAATGAGATACCCAGCTTCCAAATCCCATGAGGCAACCATAGGGTTTACTTCAAAGATCTGGTCTTTTGAACTTTGAAGACCAGTAACTATAGCACCATGCTGCTCTGGTGGGTTGAATGCACTGTGGGATGTTTTTGATGTAATCACTGTTTCTCTTTCTGGTATCAAAGGGCTGGCCAAGTGAGGTCCTTCTTTCTGATTGGATGGTGCTTGCCAAAGAATACCATGGGTCAAGTATTTGTTTCCTTCATCTTGGATGCTATCATGAAATTGAGATAATTCTGGACTGTTTGGTGTAGAAAAAGGACACAGATTTTCTTCTTCATGTATATTGTTGTCAAACCATATGTTACCTTCTGCAAAGTTTTGTATGATACTTGTGGCAGTGAGCTTGTTTTGAAGTGCTGAGCTCAATGGAAACAATTGTGAATGCATGAGAATTTGCCAAAATTGGCCATGCCTCATGATTTTCAAAATCCAGTGAGCCATTGCCTGCATCATGATTTAGTACAGATTGGCTTTGGGGAGTTTGTCAACATTGCACTCTCTGAGCACATTTTCTTCTTACTGCTCTTGAAGGAAAACCTTATGTTATGTCTATCTGGATCTCTTTTTACATGACCTCAAACATGCACAAACATTGACAAGTAAGATTGTTTTGAAGTCTTATCAATACAAGTGAAATTCAAATTTAAATTGCAATTACACTTGGTCTTACACATGTGGCAAGTTTGATAATGTTGAATTCAAAAAGTCTTATGATACACATCCACACTCAAGGGAACTAGATATATCAATGTACTGGAATATTTGGAACACACCTGCATATGAATAATAGGCTGTCATCTTTTTATGTTCATTCTTTTTTTCATTGATTACCATACAAGATACTCCTCTCATAGACCTCTTCTAACCTGTTTGATTGACTTCAATTCACTTATCAAACAATTTTACAATAAAGCTATCAGTCTAATGATAGTTGCCTTACATCTTGAAAAAATATAATGTCCTTTTGTTGTGAAAACCTAACAAGTGTTCTTTTTCCACCACGTCATTTTGATTTCTTTCAAAATTGCCACAAGTCAAATTTTGGTTGAAAGACTACTTAAATATTTTATCCTTGCATTTGAATCCTCCTTTGCTTCCTTCTCATTTTGCATAACTTCTCATGATTTTATAGTAGCAGTAGTTTATGTGAGGCCAGAAACCCAATTGTAATAATTTAATGACCAATCTGCATCCAATTTTCAACTTTTGATATTCTGCTTCATAGATTCCATCACGGAAGAAATCACATACATCCCCCATGGCACAGTGTACATAGCTTGTTTTGATCTCTAAAACAAGGTCCCCTTGTGGATTGATAGGACACTTATTTTGTTTGGACATGTGTCTTAAACAAATATTCAAACACTAACCTTTCTGATCCTCTCTCTTGTGAGTGACAAAGTCTACTCAGCCCATAGGACTAGATTTCAATGAACACTATTTCAAACACAAAACACTACTTCCTCTTCTCTTTTGGTCACACACACAATATCTTTCTGTGAAACACACTCTAATGTTTCCATAGATTTATTCTTTGTTTCTTGGATCTGTTTCAATGTCTTGAATTTTAGTTGCAATCCTTTGGCTTATATGAAGCCTAAAATATCATCTACTTCACCTCTTCCTTTGAAGTCTTTCAGTGCTTCCGTTTCACCAACATAGAATCATTCCATATTTGCAGTGAAATGATTAGTTTTGTAGGATCATGGTTGTACCAAGAAACCACGCATGTCACTTGTGAGGCCAATGTACTATGGATGTGTTCCTGTCATCAACTCTCATTTGTGATGAACAGAAGTTCAAATAGGTGATGATCATGATCCTCAGGACATTCATTACATCAACAGTGGCAAAACTCTTAAAATCTGAATACAAAGAATCATACATCTTCAGGTTTTATGAAAGAAATAAGATAATAACAAAAAAATGCTTTAAAGTTCAAAAAACTATCAATACAATTGAAACTTTCTAAAAAATGCTTTGATTTAATACTTTCACAACAAGCTTTCACCTAAAGCTGACCTTACTAAACTTTGACCAACAGCAAGAGTAGCTTCAACATCATCTTTAGATTTTAAATTGGGATTAACTTCCATCAAATCTAATGAAACCAAACAGCCAGTTTCAAAAATCCTTTCACAAATATAATGACCTTCTCTAAAAGTAAGACCACCTCTGACAGGTGTACCAGTTGAAGGTGCTACTGTTGGATCTAATGCATCCACATCGAATGAAAGATGTATAGGTCTTTTCAAACCTGGATTCACTGCTTCCAAAGCCTAGAAAAAGGAGAGAAATCAGTTTATCTGAGCAACAATTGGATTATTTTGATATGAAATTGAGAACCCAACCATTTCTACTACTTTTCCAATCCCATATCGATCCACTTGATGCATAGAATAACAAAGAATCGAATGCTCTTTTAAAATCTTCCTTTCACCTTCATCTACATCTCTTAATCCGATATAAACTAATCGATTTGGTTCTAGAATCGGTTTAATCCATTGAAATGGTTCTATATCTTTTCCTGCTTTGATTGATGATAATAAAAATGAAATTGGACAGCCATGTAAATTGCCTGATTCAGTTGAATCTGGTGTATTTATATCCTGTTTTTTAAGTTAAGATTGAAGGATGGGGATTGTATTAGTGAACACACGAGGTTATGAAGTAAGAAAAGATTTCTCGTACGGCATGAGCATCGACCCAAATCAAACAAGCATCAGGATACTATGTATTAAAAAACAAGCCAATCAGTCTTCAAAGGAATGAATCGCATTATCAAGTGTGAATTCAAACTCACCGCTTCTAAAGTTCCACTAACAGTTCCAATAGCCAAAGAATGATCCCCACCAATGGTAAGAATCAATTTCCCAGCCTTAGTGTGTTTACCAATCAATTTCGTTAATTCTTGATTAGTGAAAGAAACCGTTTTAGGATTTTTTAAGATTCCAATCGGTGGATCATCTTCTGCTTCGATTTGAACTGGAACCAATTCATCTACAAATGTTGTATAACCTAATGATTCGATTCCTTTTAGTAAACCAGCTTCGAGTAACTGTTTCGGTCCTTCATCTACTCCCGCTTTTGGCTGATTTGTAAAAACCGTTTCGAAGTCATCAATAGGTGATGATATTCATGAGTTGATGGATCAAGATTTCAAACTCAACTTGTCCACCGCTCTGCATTATGTAAAGAATCAATCAGTTCATCTATCAGATCAGTGTGTATATGCTAACTGACTAAGAATCAAAACATCGACTTACAAAAGGACATGGGATGACTACAATTTCTTTTGAATCTTCCAGGAATCGATGATTAGTTCCAGATGGTGACATTTTGATTATGATGTTCTCTAATACTTGAATACTTTGATTTGTAAAACGGATACACAAAGATGACGATCGATGTCACGATGGATGGATGAAAGAATTGTCCTGAATTGTCCAAGAAGTTCGCATTAGATATAGGTAATTTTTGTTGGGTGGGTCAAAATGATGTCATTTTCAACTTGATCGGTTGTCAATCCAACAAGCAACATTTATGTATCAGTGCGAGACGAAGTGAATTGACAAACATACTCATACATAACATAGCATAGATGACTACGAGGTACCTTCAATAGTCCTCGATCTCTCTGTCTCTGGTTTATCGCTATGTAGCTAGGTCCATAACCCCGCCCACGACTTTGTGAGTGGTAACACCTGACACCATTTCTTCTGAATCGCATCCCTATGTTTCTGTGAAGTATTTATCATATCAATCATCTTGGACTTTGTGTCCATGTGATTTTCTTTCTCACATTCGATTCGCAGTCAAACACTGACAATCAAGTCAAAAAACGCCTCAAAAAGAGTCATCAAGGTCATTTGCCATACAATTATGTCCATTCATAGTCAGGTCAACTGTTCTCTAATATTACAATCATTCTCTTTAAAGCGAGCATTATCATATGGGCACATACATATATTACCTATATGTATAGCCCTTTGCATAATTGATGACTTTGAAGAAAAAAAAACCTCGAGTTTTTTTGGAAAGTGACCGAGTTTTGTCAAAAAGCTGCTGGGTTTTTCAAAAAGTCAGTGAGTTTTTTTTGGAAGCCTGGCCCAGTAATTTTAAATGAGAAAGAGCTTGCTCAGTTTTTGAAAAACTCGATGAGTTTTTGAAAAAAACTCGCAGGTTTTTTTTGAAAACTCAAGTGTTTTCTCTTTTTCCAAAGTCATCAATTCTGCAAAGGGCTGTACACATTCAAAGACCCAGGTGACCATTGAGCCAAGTCCATTTCGCGTCAAGGCACATACATCAAAGCGTATTGTGGGTCCAGAGTCAACAACTACAGCCATTGTAAGATCTATGAGCAGATTTTTGAAAAATTTTGTTGTTGCCAGAGTTAACTTCTGAAGTCAAAACCCTCAAAATCATGACACTCTCAGACTAACTCAATTGTTTTTGTGCTAGATCAACACCGCAATTGCTCCGCACAAAAGAGCGTGTGCGGCGCAATTTTGGCCTCTGCTACAGCCCCTACTCTGCTGAGCGCAGCCTGCGCACCGCACTCAGGGGCTGAATTTTCCTAAGCGCAGCAAACCGCTACGCACAGAGCCTGGACCCAAGTTGCTCCGCTCGTGAGCGGAGCAAAACCCTGTAACCAGAGGTACAGGGTTACATAGAGTTACCTGGAACTCTTCGCAAGGAATCCTCGACCATAACTCACTCAAACCTCCCAATACAAGCAAAGAAAATCAAATCAGGATACTTGATCACTTTCACTCTTGGCTTAAACTCACGCTCACACCCGGCGCCTTTTTCGTGGCCGTGGCCGTGGCCTGGGCCATGGCCTGGTGTGGTGTGGCCCAATGTGGCCTTCCCTTTTAACAACCTCAAATCCCCATTTTAAGCCCCTACTCCCTGCTTAAGGTGATCTTGAGGGGGGCTTCAACTGGATTTGATGCTCTGTGAAGGCCATGAAGGGCTCGGGGTGAGGGCCACAGTGTGGCCTAAGCCCTGGCCCTTGCCACGGCCCCTCCAGGGCGCCTCGTGGCTTCGTGGCACTGGGTGTGAGCGTGAACTTTAACTCTTCAAAATACTTTACTTACTATTCTTTGTGAGTTTGTATCATTTCCTAATCATCATTACTCATAAACTAACTGGCTTTCCTGATTCAAATCTCAATCTTGGATGGATTATTACTACTATGGATTGATAAGTGCATTATGTTGCTTTGGATGATATTATCTAAACAATTTAGAAATCTTGATTCGATTGAACTAATTTCATAAATGGTTTATCATCCTTTTTCTGATCTTCTTTAGTCACAGAACACTCCTTCAAATCAATCTTACTCAGCTTCAGCTGCAGTACTACTAAATGACATTCTGAAATGTTTGATTTCATTGGCTATCACAATTTACAATTCAGCGTCTTCTTTATTGACTGATAATTGTTCAGACGACAAAGTGGGTTAGCTTTGTACATTTCAAACTCACTTCAATCTATCTTCTCTTTTATCTGGTTCGTAACTAACTTGGTTTTGATCTGTCGGTTCATCCACCTTCACTTCTTTCTAACAATGTCGACTCTCTTGATAGCGTTTGATCCGATAATTCAGTCTTACCGCTTCCAAATCGTTCACAATCTTCAATAGATTCTGAGACTTGACTCACAAATAGCTTTGTCCAGCTGCTTATCAAAGCAACAGATCAATCAATTCATGCCTTACAAGTTCTCATTCCTTTGGGATTCAATAATCTAGGTTGCTGATCTTCATTTGTGATCAAAGCTAATGACCCAGTCAATTCACCAATCTGATCTAAACCGTCACTTAAATTTGATGGGTTTTTTTGAGAAGATAATGATCTGGGTGGACCATTTGTGGTTCTACTATTTGGTTGGTTTTGATTAAAATCTTCTACTGATCTTCTTGGTTTGTTCTTGGTTTGATAGCACGGTAAAAAAAAGAATCACACGGTAAAAAAACAAGTTAACCCAGAAAAAATCAAGTCGTAGTGTTTTTTTTATTCAAAAGTTTTTGCTCTTTTTCTTTGTCTTTTTTATTCTTTTTGTTTTCCATTGTATTGTGCATAGATATACATACATGTCTATGCTTTTGAAAAATTATCAAATTTCTCTGTTTTTTCAAAAATGGGGCAATGTGCGCCGCTCATAGCAATATGTGTAGTGGTTTCAGCACTAGTACACATACCAAAGTCTGAAAAAAAATAAAAAGAGTGATTTCATGCGTAGTGCAATCAAGCGCAGCACTCCGCTCCGCTCCCAAAATAGGTCAAAAACCTGAGCGGAGTGTAGCAATTGCGGTGTTGGCTAGATTGGACCAATGGGCAGTAGAGTTATTAATCTCAGAAGGGTTTTTTCGAGTTTTTGACCTTTGCGTTAAATCCGGCGACAACACAACAATCACAAAATTTACCATTAGATCTTACAACAGCTGTAATCCAAACTTAACTAAACCAGTCTCTTATATGTATGTACATAAACATTGACCAGCTTGTTAGGCATCAACCCCTCACATGTGCGGTTCAAAGGTCGCAGGAGTACCTAATCCACATTGTACATAATGAGCCACAAAAAACTAGAGTAATGGTAGGAAAAAAGCATATCTTGTAGCAAACCATAGCCATCCTACATCGGCTTGCTTCCATACTATAACTCAGTGAAGAGCCGCTACGCGAATACAATGTTGACGGAGATGCATAGATATTGGGTGTCTGTCAATACAAGAAAGAGACATGTTTGAACATATATAGCCAGCTGTGCCCCTGATTTCACTGTGAGACTTGGGTGAAGGACCAACTTTTTTCTATCATTCTTATAAACACAGCAATTCTTGTTTGGTGACTGAGATTTGAACTGTTTACATGATAATAATATGATACTTGTGTTCATACAGATAGTATCAGGATCAAATAAATAGCTGGTAAGGATAATGAACAAACACAATAATTCATTGCAAAGCAACAAATGGCCAATGGGTGCCCAAGTTGAACATATATCCTGTGCTCAAAATATATCCGGATCTCGATCTCCATAATCCCCTCTCATACGTATCACAAAGCATCAGCAGACACATGTCAGCTGATTGAAGGAGATACATAAGCAAGACATCTATGCCTTTAGAGACGTTCCGGTTGGACATATCAGATAAAGCCATCATTACCTGAATGATATGAAGTCACAAAGAAAACTCGACTTGGCTTTTTCATTGATTTTGTGTATCCCCTGACATAGCTCCACCTGATGTAACAGGTTTAAGATTGGGTGGTAGTACTTGCACTGCAGGTCGCCTCTGTAACTCTGATTTTGGGTTTGATCAAAATGTGGCACACCTGATTCATCGCCGGCGCAATTGCATTCATCCCAAATAAAGCAATTGGTGACTGAGGCATGCAGAGAATTCTGTTTTACAATTAAATAAATGTAAATTTGTAAAAACCCCCGCCTTCAAGCAAAAACTCAGCAATTATGCCACCCCTTAAGGGCCATGAGTGCTGAGCTCAAGCTTGAAAGCCAGAGCCTACAAACCTACATCCACTTGACACCCCTACTGTTTCAGCCACCAATGGTCGTAAAGACAACTTCCTGGTTTGCTGTTGATGGGTGTGAGGAGTCACTTTCACTGCCAGCATTAAAGAGGTTCCCAGTTGGGAATATGGGTTGTAGGGATCAGACCGCCATTGTGATATATGTAGTCACAAAGGCTGTCTGATTACTACGACCCTTATTCCCATCTGGGAACCTCTTTAATGCTGGCAGTGTTTCCTACTATACAACCTCAGTTTTTATATTTGTCATCCGCCTTGCGCATTAACTCACTCAACGCTGAGTCTCCCTGGACATTTTTTGCATTTGGGAATATTCTTACCAGTCTATGTATGTCTGTCAATTTCTTATTCTAACCGCATTTGTACTGTACTTACCAATCTCGGCCTCTCTTTCAACTGTCCCAGGTAGTGCCTCCATACGTCACATATGCCTCAATATTCACAATTGTGTTAACTTATCATTTTACATTACTGGCCATCACTGTTCAGCCAAATATGGCTACTGACTAACTGATGTGGCTATTGACTAAGCTTCAACTGCTTTTGGTAGTGGATCTGTATCATACAAACACTTCAACATTCAAAATCCCATTATCATTACCAATACTGGCCATCACTGTTCAACCAATATGGCTACCCACTAACCTAACACTCCAAGTCGCTTTCCGTCTTAGTAAATCTCTCACTCCATATTCATCCATCCATCTCTACTCTATGGGTAAGTCATAGGTTATGCAAGCTCTTATGTTTATAATTACTTCTACTAATCATAATACATGTTTTATTGGCTTCTCAGCATTATGATATCCTTAACTTAAGGTTATCCTAAGTTGAGAATAATGTGGGGGGGTGTTGAGCCTGGAGATGTGCCGGGGCCCCCCAGGGCCTACGTAAGAGGTCCTGCAACACCACCGGCGCTCCGCACAAAAAAGCGGTAGCGGGGCGGCAGCGGAGCGGCCGCCCCGCCCGCGCTTTCCTCCTAGCCTTATAGCGGGGGTTGCGCTTAGCTATAGCTATCTGGGACCCCCTGTGTCGCATAGCGGTTTGCCTATGCGCACTGTATAGCGGTATTTCGCTGTGCCCAGAGGCGCCATAGGGCCGCATAGCAAATAAGCGCCTCATAGTGATCCAGCGCCTCATAGTGCCTATAGCGCCTCATAGAAGGTTCTTTCAAAGATCCTTCCGATCGGAAACCTACCCGGACCACCCTTCTTCAATAGGAAATCCACCTCACCACCTCAATTCCACCTCAACCACACAATAGGGGTTCTCAAAGTAGGCCCGGTTTGTAAAAACCCAGTTGACCCAGTTGACTTTTTGGCTGTGATCTGTCAACAAATGTCAACTCAATACACAAGGTTACTGCCAAAAAGCAACCGGGTCAACTGGGTTTTCTTGAAACCGGGCCAACTTTGAGAACCCCTAATCACCATCACAAACCGCCTCAGCCTTGTAATTCGACCTCAACCCTCGAGCACAAAGCAACAATCAGAACACCCCCACACCCAAGTACCCTCAGACATCATGCTGTTGTTTCCCGGCCAATTGGAACCTTCGGCTTTGTTAATAAAAGGTCCTAAAGGTGAGTGTCTCTTCTTTCCCTTTTTTGATCATTCATTGATCTACTGATTGATTGCTGAAGCTTTCTTTTTTGATTTTAATCCCACCCTTACTTTTCTGAATTTTTTAGATATCTTCTATCATCCTTTAGATTATCACTTAATCATGCCTTCATCTGTCAACAAAAACAACACTCAAACTGTCTTATCGTTTCAAACTAGCACTCTTGCTTTACCTCCCACATCAAACCCTCGAAACCTTCGTCCCCGTAGTCCAGTACGCCCTCGGCCAGGCTTTGTCACTCAATCACCTGATTCCCGGCGTTCTCTTCAATTACCGACTGAAGATGAAACCGAGCTCGAAGTTTCAACTAGTACTGACGAGGACAACCAATCAGACCAATCAGAGCCCTTGGCAGCTGTAAATGTCTCATCTTCTCGCTCAGCTCACCTTGAAAAACGGGTTCCAAAAGGCATTAATCGTAATGCTGGCAAAGGCAAAAGAAAAAGTACCGCTTCTCGTAACACTTCAAATTCTTCTCAACATCGATTAGCTCCTGTGAAGAAGAACATGAAGGCTACATCTAATGTACATGAGGTATGTTGTTCAACTTCCACTTCACCTTATCGTTCTACTTCATCACCCTTTCTTCCTTCTTTCTGACTTTCACATTGTATCCCTTGTCCTTTCTTTTTTGATCATAGGACTACGATGTTCCCACCGGACTTGATGTGAATCAAGATTCAGATATCAAAGTCGTCGAGACACCAGGTGTCCGGCGTGAAGCTGGCCGAATCTTTCAAGTCTTGGCCTACTACGAACCTCCCATTCATGTGAGAGGCGAGGTGTGTCTATTTCATTCTCGCTTCAATCTTATTACCAATGTACTAAATCACATCAAAATGTTAGAGCGGCCCCAATCCACGTAGATACAAGTGCAAGTTTTGTTTTGCGTACTTTGTCAAAGGCTGTCGCAGCTATTTCAATCTGTACTCTCATCGAGATGGCGCCAAAGATCGACCCTCCTGCCCTAATCGACGCATCGCCATCGAACAAGGGTTTAATCTACCTCGAACCTGGCAACAACAGCAAGACGAGATTGTTCGAGTGGCTTCCACCAACCCAAAGTCAACCCTTGACTCATTTTTATCCCAATCAACATTCAGTGTTGAGCTTTTCAACACTGTATTAGTGGTATGGCTTCTTCGTCATGCCCTCCCTTTTTCTCGATTCAATGATCCCGCCCTGAGAGCTGCCTTCAAGTTGTCAAATCGTTCCGCAAACTTGCGAGGCACCACCTGGGCCTCTGAAATTTCTAAAGGGATCTATACCGAGCTGTCTGCCGCAGTAATTGAAAAGCTCAAGGTTAGTTTTCGCCATCAACTTCTTTTTGTTTTGTCTTTCTTTCGTCCTTTCTTTCCTCTGTACACAAAAGAACTTACTGACATCTGACTCGTTTCTTTGCGGGATTGCAGTCAACTCGAGGTAAATTTAGTCTCATTATCGATGTTTGGACCACCAAGGGGCGACGTAAAGCCTTCATTGGAGTGTCCGCCACCTTCATCGACGATGATTGGCAGTTCCAATCACTCCATCTAGCCCTCAAGTTAGTAACTTGGCACCATGCTGGCCGGCTTTTGGCTCAGCCAGTTGGTCAATTTCTGATTGCAAATGGATTGCATCATAAGATAAGTGATATCTTTTTTCCTTTATCATCTTCATTTCGTTTTTTTTGTTTCAAATGTTGAGATTATTTTGTTGCATTCACATGCTGGCTCAGACGACCGACTCATGAAGCTCGAATGCAACCATGGCCACCGAACTCCAACTCATGTTCAGCGAGGCTGACAACCCAGTCTTCTGGAACTCTGAAGCTAATCAAGTTAAGTGTTACACTCATAAAATTGGCCTTGTAGTCAAGGCTGGGTTGAAGGCTTTAGGTATGCGGGCTGGGCATGTCAAACCCACGACATCTCCTGGAGTGACCTTACCTACACCTTCTATGACCCTGAACGATGGTGATGGAGAGTTGCAAATGGACTCAACTGACCACCTGTGTTTACCCATACTTACCAAGTGTATTAGATGATACAGGTATGTGCATCACTCAATGCTATCCATTTTTTAGCAGGTAGAAATGACTAGATAGATAGATGGATCTATGGTCATATCAAAATTCTACCAAGTCCCCATTTCTATAAGGGGGGGGCCTTGCCTCCCCTCACGCACCCAAAACCAAACTTACTAACACATCTCACAATCTCACTACCCAACACATCAAGTTACTACCTGTATGTAAATCTCACTATCTCTTCAAATTCCATATACCCATCCATCAAAGTTACTCGGCCAATCACAATTCTCACTACTCAACACATCAAGTTACTACCCCTACAGTAAGTTTCACTACCTCATCAAATTCTTGCCTCCCCTCACGCACCCAAAACCAAACTTACTACCACATCTCACAATCTCACTACCCAACACATCAAGTTACTACCTGTATGTAAATCTCACTATCTCTTCAAATTCCATATACCCATCCATCAAAGTTACTTGGCCAATGACAATTCTCACTACTCAACACATCAAGTTACTACCCCTACAGTAAGTTTCACTACCTTATCAAATTTGCACTACAATCTCACCTGCTAATCACCAAAATTACTATCTGATCAAGAATCTTACTACCACAGATACAATCTCACAGCTTCATCACTACCTCATTATCAAACTTACTACCATACCTTTCAACATACTACCACGCACTCAATATCACGACTCCATCAATAGAAGCACTTAATCTCACTACCATACCCCAAATCTTACTCAACTGTTGGTACTTAACACTTCACCTACTATCTATACCCATCCACTCAACTCCAAACTGATTTGCTCCATTCCACATCAACATAACATCGATTGATCCACCCTTCACTTCACCACCCTTCCAGCTAATTATCACTTCCACTCAGCATGCCATTGCGATCCGGCCTCCAAATCAACACACCAACCCACTCGATTTCTGATTCCGACGAATCTGAAGCCAGCTACAAAGCACCCAAGAACCGTAAACGACGTCCTGCGAAACAAACCACCACGAAACGTGCTCCACGAAAAAAGAAAAATCAAACTCTTCAAACTGATGGCAATAATGAAGACAATCAAGCAAACCTTGCACTGCCTGAATTTGAAGCTGATGAATCATCTAGCCATCAAGTTCCCAACTTAACAAACTATCAACAGCTGGGAGTTGAGTGGGGCTTGGCTCGTGCAGAAAAATACCTCGCTGACTCGAACTTCAAAAACCAACGAGTTCAAAAAGCCGATTATTTGAAGCCCAATGTCTTCAATCACAATACAATCTTGACAAAACAATGCTATGCATTGTCCTCAAATGTAGCCGCCGAGTACTGGATGAAGCTCTGTGGGTCCTCCCAAAACAATGTATCATAAGAAACCTGACTCATAACTTTACTTTCTAAATCAACATTAATTTTTAAATCAGATTGGAAGGACCTTTGGCTCAAGAGCCAAATATGTATACGAATTACCAGACTTATAGTGTCGTTGCAACAACCACCCAAAGTAAGTGTGTCACATCCCATTCAAAGCCAAAAGCAAACCTTGTTCTAAAGAAGACTATCAATCGATGACAATTCCAGTGCCAGGAAAGGGTGTATCCAAAGGTTTTGTCGAACGCAACACCCTAGTGGGCAACACATGGTCCTCATACCAAAAAGACGAGCAGGAGGTATTCACCCCACGACTATTCGAACCCTTATGTATAGCAACAAGTGAGGCCTATGCGCTCACTCAAACTCCTCTGGGCATTGCAGCTGCCCCTCAGCCTGCAGCTGCCCCTCAGCCTGAAGACAAATCGGTCACTCCCGCCTCAACTGCCACTGCCCAAAACGGACTCCACCTCCTCACCCAGGAAGAGCGTGAGAAATACATCCCTATCTTCACCCTTTTGGTGAACATGAGCAAAATCTCGCGTGACATGCATGAAGGAAGACTTTGGAGACACAAGTCAAGAAATCGGTCTTTGGAACAGCTCATGACGCAAGAAATCAACAAAATTGTTCGACAGGTACGTTGATTGAGCTTTAACAACTTGAAGTCCGGTTGTTAATAATTATCTCTTCATAGCTTCACATTCTCAAGAACCACTTCAACCTTCAGTTCCATCTTTTGCTTGCCAGTTGGAACCCGGCCTCCCCTACCACTCGCTCCCTGTTCCAAGAAGAGCATACGACATGCCAAAGGTGGGCTAAAATCCAGCAAAAGAAGCACCTGCTGGAATGCTTTGCTTTCGAATCCACCAAGGCTCCAGAGCATCTCCGTCTTAGCCGCAACAAGCCTAAACCTCCTTCAGAAGCCGCATTACGTCAAAACCAACTTCGAGCAGAGCTTACTCTTGCCCTCAATAAGTTGATTGGTAAGTACTAGCACTACCAAGAGTCTCAAATGATTGCCGAATGAACTCATGTAGTTTATACTTCATAGAACCTTACCTTTGAGGTGGAAAGCTATACAAGGGTGATGCTCATCCCAAAACAGCAAATATGCAAGCATCTTTTGCCAAGAAAGAGTATTGCGGGGGCATTCATCTGACTTTCAACCGCACGCTGGATAGTAAGGTCACTGATACCATTCTAGAAAAGGGGCCCAGTTCTTTAACAAACAATGAAGTCAAAGACTGGATTGACGATATCCAAATGAAGAGATATACCATCATTAGAGTTGACAAGGCAGCCCAAGCCAAGTCTGATGTCAAAGTGGATATTAACTTGGCAGCAAATGAGGATGAGGATGTTGGTATGAAAGCTAATGAAGATGATGAAACGGATGGTGCAACTTGATTTGTACTATTGACTTCCATGATTACCATGAACCGCTAAGATTTGCTTCTATTATTTCTTTGTCCGTCATCTTAAAATCCCAGACTCCCTACCTTTGTCTCTTATCTTGCCATCTATTCTTTTGTTGTCTGTATCCTTAAAGATTCTTCATTCATTGTGTAAGTATCATGATTTGCTCTCCAGCTTGCCTTTCGATCTGGGCCACCGCATTTTGAATGACTGCGAGAATTTCAATTAAGACGGTTCGCAAAAGTTCTTATTCTCACTAGACACATTTGCCCAAGCTCAAACCAAAGACGTAGGAGCTTCAGGAGCCCATCTCCTTGAGACAAATTTGTCACACCGATTTCACATCCCTCATGATGTGACTCACTGAACCTCTCAGACTTCATCTCTTGCAATTTTGAATGTTGATGAAGGATAATCTCAAACCGAAAGCCCATTAGCTATTGGTTTATGTATTCATCTCACTCAGTGTGAAGAATACATAAACCAACCACTTCGCTCTCTGATCTTTAGTCAAATCCACAATATCAGGCCTCTGGCCATCTCCTTAGGTTGGATTGTATAGTGAGTAGGTAGGACTCATTCTCTCAAAGATGATAGAAAAAATATATATCAAGTAAATTGCATTTTCAAATTGTATCAATTTAAAAATCTTTGGATTTGTCTTAACATGAAATTTGATCGAAGGAGATAAAAAAACAAATGAACACAGTGATAGCAAAAACTAAGGCTTCCACTTACGACCATCAGATGCCAAGATATCATTACAATCTAATACTTCACGCTCGCAGTTAGAGGTGAAGTTATATTGCTCCTCCGTCCCCAACTTCGCTGCAGCACGTGCCAGGCTAGAGGTAATCTGGGTAGAGCATCCTAAGCGTGTGAAATGAGTCTTTGAACCATCCTCTCGTTCAACCTCTACCTCCTTTGACTGAAGCGTCTGGTGAAACGTACTCTTACCACTCCAGCAAATTTGTACCACATCCTTCGCACCAAATTTGAAAGCTATTCTGTATTCAGGAAATAAAAAATATCCACCCTCTAATATGAATCCCTCAGCTAGTGTCACAATTCTTCCATTAATTGAATCTATTGGGTACCATACACAGTACACTTTGCCTTTATCGTTGTTGGTGTGTGGTTTGTTAAAAAAGTTATGAAAAGTAAAGGCAAAGTTCCCAGCAAAGTCGTAAGCTCCTGTTTCTTCATCCTTATCCGTAGCTGTCATCGAAGGCGCATTGAGGGTCCTCAGCATTTTTCTCGCAGTTAGAAAAGCCTCATCCGCAAAGGCTTTGAAGCGGGTACCCATATGTTCACCAAAAATCGGAAGTTCACTGAGAAACAGTTTATAAAGCGATAGGGAGGCTCCTTGACATGGAATATAAGGTGAAAAAAGTACCTCCGGATCATAACCCGCCCGTGCTCCAAAACAGAACATCTTGCCATTCAAAAGTGCACCATTCGTAGTAATGTTCTTTTCGATTCCCCCGGGAGGACTCTCCTCTTCCTCCACCTCAGAAGGCTCGAGTGAAGTGAGAGGTGAAGACTCTCTAGTAGCAGAGGTTTGCAGTGGTTGATCAAGCAAAAGGTCTCGTAGTCTTTGATCGAGCTGTTTGCTGGGAAGGTGAATTATTTGATTGTGTGTTTTGGTTTCGTCTGTGTCGGAAGGTGCTAGTGAGGTGAGCGGAGATGACAGATCCGTTTGGGCTACAGATGGAGGTATGGTCTGGTCCAAAACCGGAATACATTCTTTGTATTGTAACATTTTCATCTTGGAAGTGGGACTAAGGTGTAAATTATCAGGTCGTTTTGATTCCTCAGTTAAAGAAGTTGAATTTGAAGGATCGATCATGGTTCGGCGCACAGTTGAAGTCCTGGTTGTACTTTTAGAATGAGTGATTGAAGCAACCGGAACAGCACGAGTTGAAGTTGGCTTTGAAGTTGCCACAGTGGTTGGGCGTACAGATGAACGAGTGCTCATCCTCGTAGGAGCTTTTGAAGGTGCAGGAACTGTAGTGCTGGTAGGGGACTGTTTCGCAATTGGCATCCGCCGGAATAAGTTGGTAGCCTTCATGATTGTATCTACATCACCCTGATGTAGTTGTTGCTGAGATTCTTCCATAGTTTCCAGGTCCTCAAAAGAAAAAGTACATATAAGTTTTTGGGATTTTCGATCTACCAACTGTCCATCGCCATGATCGATTACATGATAAATCTTGGATACAATCTCCATAGTCCGGACATAGTCTTCCACTGGGAGGACAGGATCATCAAACCTACGAAACGCTCGTTTAAAAGAGGAGCCCTTCGCCTTTTCCCCTGCGGAAGATAGATCCTGACGCCGCTGAGCCGTACCCTGAATAGCCTTACGCGGATGACGTCTGGGAGGTTGACATAGTCAGCATATAGGGATTAAATGCATAGCCATAAGCGTAACTTACGTAACCATCCCTCGGCGTACTTTCCCCGGAACAGGTACCTTTACCGACTCCAATCCATGGTCCAGATCATACAGAGATGGAAGCGTGGCCGCCACACGCTTGCTAATACATACCAAGGCAAAATCGTATCAGACCGGTACTTCTGATCTATATAGTAGATGAGATATATATTTTCCTTACCTCATTGTTTGAAAAGGTGGCTCAGTGGGTTCAGCTTTTGTTTCAACACCTGGATGCATTGCCGAAGATGATGAGGTCGTAGGTTGAAGTCTACCCGTACGGAGAATGATTACTTCAAACTTATACTTATCATATTCGTTTTCAAAAATTACTAACATTATTTTTCCAACGTGGTTCTCGGACGAATGATCCTTGTGTATGGCTTTTAGTGGTGAAGTGGGGATGACCGAGGCTCTGGATTGAATGCAATCAGGATGTAAGAAGGGGGGTTAGACCCACTTATGAACAGTAGACTATAATACCAGAGAATTCACTTACATGAATTCAGCAAAAGTATTTTGTTTGCCACCAACCTCCACTTGCGAGGATGATAACAATGAGGTTGTAGGTTGGAGCCTATCAACGTAGAAAAGATGGATGTTTATCATCCTGCTCATGTGGAAATTGAATATACATGTTTAGACTGTTACTTACTTGGAATTACTGATCTCCTCCTGATCAGCTTGGACCTTCCCCTTCCCATTTTGTAAATATTCTTGACAAGATGGATGGAGCCAACCCTCGCCTACAGGGTAGCCATCCTTCCCCAATAGATGATGAGGTACCTTAATGAACGATCGATCGACTTTGAATTCCGGCGGAAGCTATGAAATCGAAGTGATTTGATCAGTAGGCGCCCATATGTTCTCTTTAGTAAGCCATGATCCGCACATCTTCCTCGTTGTAACCAGTCTGCCTCTTCATGTCAATCTTCTTCAAATAGTCTGATAACCAAGTAACACCTGGCATCGGCATATGCTCGGAATTCTCACTATTTATAATGATAGAGCAGCATTAGTACATAAAACATACCAACCATTACTGGAATCACTCACATACGGTCATCGTATTTGGTTCGCTTCCGCTGGGGCCACCCTGGTTCCAAGTCGGTCGGCATGCTTCTAAAGCGTATTTAATATTAGTAAAGTGTATTTAATATTAGTACCTGGCTTTTACTTTTCAAAAACACTGAGGTTGCATCGCAGGAGAGAGAGATACGATACTCAGGATGCAGAGGAAGGAGAACTGATGTATGAGTAGAGACCGAAGGTAATGATTCGAGTAAGGTGTAATTCAAGTTGTAAAAATGCTATCTATGCCACCTGTACTCCATTACCCTCAACGTCTCCACTCATACACCAACATCTGCACAACCTTTGCATCACTAGTATTACCAGTGTACCTTGTTTGACTTGTTCGCTGCGAAGTGTTGAGTAGTAATCTGTTGATCCGATTTCTAAACACAAACGATTAGTTATTGAAAGGAGAGAAATATGAGCCAAAGGGTGAAATACACACCTCTTGAAGTGTTTGATTCAAGTCCCAGTAGCAGTAACTAGCTATCAATGATTTGCTCGATGGTTAATTGATCAATATGTTTGAAGTAAGATCGCTAGTGATATTTCGCACGTTTCGAAATGGAATTAGCTGTTTAAAAAATGGCCGTTAACTGAATGAAGACAGAGATTGATGTGAAAGAATGGAAACTGATGAAGTACTGACATGTAGAATTATATGTGATCTTATTTGATTAAAACGTTCTTCGAATCGAATGAAACGTTTGATTCGAAATTGTTGAATTCGACAGTGTGGGAAAGATCATGTGGCCGTTGAAATCGATGGTGTGGGAAAGGACTTGTAGCCTTTGCTTAGGCAGCACACCGGTACAGATTTACAGGTTCACAGGTGAATACACACCTCATGTTAGGCATGTCACAAAGGATCACACACATTGTGACATGGATTACATTATCACTCTATCTAAATCTCACTCTGCTCCCAACTTTGTGATCAATCCAATATCTTTGTAGGTAATTTGATTGGAAAACTACCTTATATGTCACTTACAAGATTAAGCCAAGGTTCAAGCCTGCTGGGATAAGTAATTCAATACGGCTACAAGGTTGTGGACTTATCAATAAACTTTCCTAAAACAATATTGTGGTCAGTGATAGATTTGCAATAACTTCCTCATTATGAAGAAGATACAAGTCACTTAGACAAATAAGAAAACAGAGGCATGAGTTAGACCTTATCATATGTTCAATTCAAATTATACAAAGATTTGTATCATAACCCACTTGTGCTGTCCTCCTTAAGCTGATGATGTATTGGTCAAGATAGTTCAACAATCCAAAGGTTTGTACGCACATATTTCAGATCAAGACAAATAAACTTGCTGTTCCATGAATGAATCATGGAACTGATTATATACTATGTTTTGATACATAGAATATAATCACACATACACTTTGTATGTATCTGATTCTTGAAGTAGGATTACGGAGGTGAAGATGAGGAGATATGCCAAATGTTCAAAATCAAACTGGCCGTGAAAATCAAAACTGTCATTGGGGGGGGCAATATAGCCCTATTTGCTACATCTTCAGTGTGTTCGTAGCTGTTTGAGGTCTGAGCGGGGTTTAAAATGGTGACTTTGGGTTTTGTAGCGTGATTACCAAGATGAAGATGAGGAGTTATGATAAAAGTTCAAAATCAAACTAGCCTTGAAAATCAAAACTGTCATTGAGGGGGGCCAATATGCCCATATTTGCTGCATCTTCACTGTGTATGTAGCTGTTTGTGAACTGATCGGCCTTTGAAAGGGTGTTTTTCCATTTTGGATCGTGAATATCAAGATGAAGGTGTGGAAATATGGTGAAAGTGCAATAATAGACTTGGTCTGAAATTAAATTTCGTCACCTGTGGGAAAAGTTTGGGCCATATTTCCAACTTCTTAAGGGTGTTTGGGTCACTTTTACATACCAATTGACATTATCAAGAAGTACTTCAACTATTGTGTCAAGAATATCTAAGGCAAGGAGTGGTCTTATGGCAAAAGTTCAATAACAAACTAAGGTTTAAATTGAGTTTTGTCATCTGGGGGGAGAGTATAAGCATTATTTCCTACATCTTCATTGTGTTGGTGAACATTTTTGGTCATCTTGATGTGCAATTTGCTAACAGATGCAGATAACAAGATTTGTGGAAAACTTGTGCACAACCAAAATTGATGGCACTTTGCATATCAAATCATCTCAAACACCAAGAAGACATAGGAAATGAAGCTTCTCCTCTCCCCCCAGATGACAAAATTCAATTTAAACCATAGTCTATTATCGTACTTTGGCCATATCTCAACTCCTTGCCTTTCATATTCCTGCCACAACATTTGAAGTACTTATCTCACATGTCAATTGCAGTGTAAAAGTGACCCAAAAACCCTTAAGAAGTTGGAAATATGGCCCAAACTTTTCCCACAGGTGACGAAATTTAATTTCAGACCAAGTCTATTATTGCACTTTCACCATATTTCCACACCTTCATCTTGATATTCACGATCCAAAATGGAAAAACACCCTTTCAAAGGCCGATCAGTTCACAAACAGCTACATACACAGTGAAGATGCAGCAAATATGGGCATATTGGCCCCCCCCAATGACAGTTTTGATTTTCAAGGCTAGTTTGATTTTGAACTTTTATCATAACTCCTCATCTTCATCTTGGTAATCACGCTACAAAACCCAAAGTCACCACTTTAAACCCTGCTCAGACCTCAAACAGCTACGAACACACTGAAGATGTAGCAAATAGGGCTATATTGCCCCCCCCAATGACAGTTTTGATTTTCACGGCCAGTTTGATTTTGAACATTTGGCATATCTCCTCATCTTCACCTCTGTAATCGCGCTACAAAACCCAAAGTCACCTTTTTGAATTCCTTCACCTCTGAATTCAGGCTATCATATAATAAAAAAAATGTATCAGTGATATACTCATGTTCAAACTCACCATTCAAGGTAGCCATCCCTTACACCTGGTCCTGATATCAATCAATGATCCAATCAACAATTTCTCATAGTTCATTTGACGCGGTCAAATCCACAATAAGCAAGTTGAACATGTACTTGAATATGAATATGTTCAGGTATGTCTACTTCCCAAGTAATATAATTTCGATTCCTGTCCCTTTTAGGTAGGTTAAAATGGCTACATGTGGGATTGTATCATTTTACTATTATTTATGTGGACAAACATATTGATGAACGTGAAGAGGAAAGACAAAGATGTGAAAATAAGATAAATCTAAGGGCTTCCAGCCCTCATGAGATGAACAATCCAAAGAAATCTCCCGCCAGATCTGGCTCCTCCTCTTCTTCAATCTCAGGTAGATCATCCTCACCATCTTCATGTGCAATGAACATGGGTACACCTATGATCTCCGCAAATGTAATTGAGGTGCGTGCAACCATCTCCTCCCATTGGGTCATCAGGTTTTGATCTATATTGGCACTTTGCTCCACATATTGTGATGTAGAATGCATGACCTCAGATAAACCACGAGACCATCGCTGCCATAGACGGCACGATATTCTACTCAGTCCTTTATAGATGGAATTCCACTCTACCATACGTCCTTCACCTAATAATATGTAGTGCATGTTTGTGACATCAGACTCTAATAACCAGATATCCATACTCGGAAAAGAAGAGCTCACCAATGGCAATGTTTGGCTTTGAAGCATCAACACGTGCTTGATAGTCCAGACCCCATAGCATGAGTTGGCGGACCTCGCGCCCCAATTGACGCAACTCCTCCTTACATGATCTTTCACTTTGAAAGGCAATAATTCCTTCCTTAGTGCTCTGACAACTAGACCATGCCTCATCTGGATGATTGAGTGCAGCCTCATCCCAAAACGGATCTAGAATGTCCATGTTCACCACCTCGTCATATGTTGGTTCAAGTAGCCGATGTGCTGGTTGGAATTTCTCATTGTATTTCCGTGCATGTCTCAAGTAAGTGTCAGTTTTTGTTTTCAGGAGAGCAGCTTTCTTCTTCCGCAGCTGCTCATTTCGTGGTTGCTGTGTGGCACCTGAAGTACGCCAGAGATTGGTCAGATGTACTGGTGTTTTTCAGAATCATCATATGCAGTACATACCTGTCCGGATGGCAGCATTAGCTCTCTGTTGGATAACATCATACTTCGCCTCATAGAGGAATCCCATTGATACCTGTACAGTCATAATGGCCTTCATTTGATCATCTGGAAGCGGTTTCACCTCACCAAAGTCAATAATGATAATAGAATACCTGCCTTCAAAAAATATGACACACCTCCCCCTCGCTGAGCATTAGCCAATTCGGCATTGCCTAATTCTTGTGCAAGTTCTTGAACCTTGGCTTCCAGATTTGCTAGCGATCGGGGTAGGTCAAAGAGGTCATTTCGATGCTCCGCCATCCTGATTGCTGCATTTTGTGGATTAAATTCAAGCAGCCTTTGACTGTGTGGACATCAGCAATGAATCTCAGCTTGACAATTCAAAACATACTTGCCGAGCTTCAATTAGATCTTCCTCAAGTTGAACCAGTACCTCAACTCTGGCTTGTTTCTCCTTAGTTCTTACATTGATTGCTTCCAGTTGCAACTTGCGCTGGCGTTCCCACTGGGCTTTGAAATAAGCTGTGGTGTGAGTCCTATTCTTTTGGAGAAGTTTTGTTAGCGTTGTTTGTGCCTCAACAAGCTCGGCCTGGTATTTTTGTGTGTGTTTCAAAAGAAACCAAACTTCAAAACAGAATGTCAAGGGAATTTTTTGTATCATCGTTTTGTAGGTTCATTTCTAGCAATTTACACATACCTGATTGTCCGCGAAGCACTTCATTTCGATGAGTTGTCCAAAGGTGGAGGCTTACCAAGCGGTGCTGCTTAGTCGCATAACGCAGCAGTGATACTAAAGGTGCTGTCTTCATCCACACACGCTCAAGCCCCTCCCCATTTGATTTACCCCACCCTACGTTCAGTCGTGGGTTGTACTCCAGCTGGCAACCCCAGTTGTGAGCATACGCATGAAACAACGCGGTTCCCATCTTGATTTTAGCAGCGTATGCTTCATTGGTAAACACCCTTTTCTGATCTCATAACAGTATATCAGCACTCATCCAATCTTCAGACATGTATTTGTTGATTTACCTTTTTGATTGTTTTATCTAAGCTACAACCAATATCATATAAGATACCCAAGCTATCCTCTTCGCTCTCATTTGCGAAAATATCCAGTAGCCACTGAATTAGTGCAAGTGCATAATGATTCCTATTCATTGGTTAAAATTAGATTAACATGTTTTCTATCGAAGTACCAGTGACAAATATTCAAATTAAGGACGTACTTTTCGCCGGTTTGAACCAGATTGATGAATTTCAGCACGTGGTCATGGCGGCACGCCATTCCAAGCAAACCAGATTCATCCATGGCTTTGAAATGATGTTTGCCTCTCACATCATTAGCCGTGGTGTGGGCTTCAGTACATTGGTGCTAAGGTTAATTGAGACGTGCAAGATGAGCCGGATTGTTTGTTTCTTTAACACCAGACCAAAGTATAGCCGGCTCACAACTTCATCTTTGTCATCCTGCGGGCCTCTAGCCATAAATCGAGCCTTGGATTCACATAAAGCGGGGTCTAGGAATAAATCAGGTCGGGGTGGGTGGAAACCTGGGATTGGCACACTTGCCACTGCATGGCGCTTATGCTGGAAATTCCCGTCTAAGCAGATCAAGACTTGAGGTTCCAAAGGATTGTTGTTATTTCAAACAGGTGGGCCGAAACATTTTGGGCAATTAGACGCTAGAAGACCCAAATCAGATAGTTGAAGGCGTTCGTTTTCAATTTTGCTTATTTGAAGGATGATAGCTCGATATGCATCCATGGCAGCGGTGAAAGGTTGACGCCAATCTCTTGGCTGATAAAACATAACAGGAGGGTGTGTCAGTATATAGTCTGAATTTAATGGAGTGAAGATCATAAGATCATAAGAAACCCGGACTCACTTGACCTTTTGAGGTTGTAATGACAGGACAGTGGTTGTCAAGGATATCGTCCAAAGCCTCACAGAATCCCTGTGTTGCCACTGCACAGCGTAACCACATCTTGTGATGATACTTCAGGAGCCGCACTGAGAATGCTGTACAAGGTTGCACTGGTGAAGCCGCCATGTATCCCATCTGCAGCAATCTGGCTGGGTCAGAAAGGTCACAGTTTTTGCAGAAAGAGACCTTCACTCGACGGCGACCTTGAATGTGAGGTGCACATCTGTTATCTATTCTCCCAATTTAATGATACATTTAATGTACAAATTTCTTACTCAACAAATCAACCATATCCACATTTCGCTCAGTTTTACATGCACAGTTGCAAGGTGGCCTGAAATCTTCATCCCATCTTGCCTCGAGACCCCAGTTTGAGGTCTCCAATCGATTTCGGAGAAAAGTGGGCAGCATGATGGCGTACTGCCATGCCCAACGTTCCTCATGTTTCAAACGATCATCAAGACGAAGCTGTCGTTTAAGCTCTATCATCACTGGATCATCTGGATCTTCTTCTAAAGCGTCAGCTAGGTCATGGCGTGGCATGAATTGATTCATATCAAAGTCAGGATTATTGACATCATCCTCCGCTGCATCATCCTCTGCAAGGTCAGGTGGGTATGCAATATGATTTTCTTCTTCCGGAGCGGGGACATCCTCATCAGGAGGTCGGGCGTCATTCTGTTGGTTTAATTGTGCCAGTAGTCGCCTGTTTGATGCTGCGGCATGGGCTTTGTCTTTCCGTTGCAGCCTGAGATGCTGTTGTTGCAGGGGAGTAAGCGGCTTAGGGTCTTTGCCACATTTGTTCAGGCCCGGTATGATACGTCTTCCGGGCATTGGAACGCCTTCTTGATAATGATCTAGGTTGGCAACTGTTGCATTGGCAGAGATTCATCCTCTCTGCTTTTATGATTACTTAAGAGTGCAACATCAGCACTGTCTTCAAATCCGCTTTGGGAAGACTGAAACTATTTGACAGATAGTCTAGCGTGGCTACGGTTTTCCGTACCAAATCGAGGACTAAAACATCCGGTCAGCATATTAGCGTGGAATTTCCATTTGAATTGGAATAAGGAGTTGCCAACACATCCACATTTGGTTGGTGGGTATAGAATATGATTGCTATTTGCACCAGCAGTGACACTGGTTGAGGTACCTAAATGAGAACGGACAAGGGGTTGAGAGCTTGTTTGACATGATTGAGATAGTCCAGCAGAGTATTGCAAAGGGGTCAAGAGACTGGTTGACGTGATCAAGATAGTTCGACGGGGTAAAGCAACATCCCTGAGATCCTCCTCAATTGGTCAAGTCCAAAGAGGGTACACCCTTTTTTTGAAACTACTCGGTTATGAAGGTCTTGTAAAATGTCACATGACTTCAACAGGAGTCCAAAATTATATTAGCCGTTTTGATGATGTGTATTTAGGGGTTTATACCAAGACATAAATCTTGTCTGCAGATTGACCTCACGTGAACCTCGACACATGCTAAGGGCCAGCAGGAGCTCTGGTGTCGAACAGGCCATATTGCAGCCAGTTATTTTGTAGCAGTACTATTCATGGAAGTCACTGCACATGCGGTTGGTCGTTACAAGGATGCATGGATGATACATCGTGAATTGAACATTTTAGATTCAATGGAACATCCTTGGAAACTCAAACATGAAAGAAAGTGAGACAATTTAAGATGTAAAGGGGATGAACATGAATAAGTCCTTTATGATAATTTATACTTGTGATTAATCTGATGATAGTGTGATTGGTTTATGAAACTTTTTCTTTTTATTGTGGCGTGGTTTTTGTGCTTTAAGAAAGTCTTCGTGGTTCTTGATCCTAGAGTCCCAGGCATCTAGCCAACCAGAGGCTTCAGGAGTCCAAAATCGCATCCAACTGGAACAAACCCGAGGAACAGGGAGATCTGGGTTATTCCAATCGAGTGTAAGGCAGGCAAAGTGACGATTGGCCCAAGCCAAGACGATAGGCCGATTATTGTTGAAGGGGGTGAGGTAGGGAAATGTAGTTTGACTGAAGGACCCAGGCTCGTAGTATAATACAGGCCGATCAAAGGCAGTAGCTATTACACCGCCCCAACCCGGCATACTCAGCCAGTGTTTTTCCTGCGTAAGAACATTGTGTTCGCGGGTGCGGAGTCGAGTTAAAGCTACACTATGCGTATCATGTAGTGAACGGTCAGCAAACAGTTCGGGAGTCTTTTTGAGAGTGGTTGCCAAGGCCTGCCGCACGTAAAGCCAATCGTCTTGAGATCGACCAATGGAGAGGGCTATGGCTCGAAATCCACAGTGACCATCGGCTTTGACTTCGTGAAGGTTGAGCACAAAAGGAATAAGCCACTTGTGGATCTGATAACGCTTCAAAAGAGTTGGTAATTCAGTATTTTTGTGTGTCTTTTGGCCTATACTCAGTTCACGTGCTCGTCTGCAAGTCATTATGGGGATCGGTGCTGTTGGTGATGTTTGTGAGGTTTGATCGCAGGTGGTAAGTTGTGGCTGAGACGGCTCTTCAATCTTGGGGATGTGAGAAGACGCAAGTGGCTCAATATCGCTGGGAGTCTGCTTCGTTTCAGTATTGGCTGGGTGGAATATCAGCGGTGAAATATCAGCTCTAGTGGGAAAATTCAACAACTAACTATTTGTGGTACCAAGCAAGCTGAGATTTCGATGGTGCCACTACCAGCATAAAGTAATTTTCCCAAGTAAAAAATGAATACATTTAGAGCAAAAAATGATTGAAACTGCTTCGTTTCAGTATTGGCTGGGTGGAATATCAGCGGTGAAATATCAGCTCTAGTGGGAAAATTCAACAACTAACTATTTTGGGAAAATTACCTTTTGCTGGGAGTGTGCGAGTCTGACTTGGATTCAGGCTGCTGTGCTTCAATCATGGGTTGACAAATGAGGTCTTCGAAGTTAAAGGTGGATGCTGTTTGCTCAGACTGGCCATAAAAATCGTCGATAAGGCTATCGAGCTATGTTACATGATGAAGTTAGATTGTTTAACTTGGTTGGATGATTGCTGAGTTGATAGTCTTGATAACTCACTACTAGGTTGTCTAATGGAGTTTCAGCGCGGGTTGTTGGCGATTGGGGTGGTTGGAACTCGCTGTTCAGTAGCAAGCTTTTGGGCTGAAACTTGATGTTTTAATCAGATCAATTCGAAAAACTTGAGTAGTATGTAGGTCAATGGTACTTACATGAGTATCGCCTGGTGTGAATGTTTTTGGCGAGTTGGAAGTGCAGTCGTGATTAAGTGAAAGGTGGAGGTTGGCCTGCTGGTGATATATGGGGATGGAGACCGAGGCTTCTTGCTGAGCAAGAATAACTTCAATGCTCTGGACAGCTTTGAGTTGTCGGCGTGGAGTCAAGGCCTGTAATTGTGCAGGTAGTGTCAAGATGGTGGAGTCAATTGAGTTTACACATGCAGGCTGTGTCAAAAAGGTGGAGTCGAGCAAGGCTCCACTGCGGTTTGGCTGTTGTGGTTCGACTGGAGTTGTTTGTTGTTTGTCATCGTTTGTACTGGTATTGGGTGTAAGGTGGTAAGGGTGGGGAAGAATTGGATCCTTTGCAGGGCTTTTCTTACAAGATTTGACATTTGGATCGGCTGGATGGTTATGAGCGATGTGGGTGTGAATGAGGAGCCAAGACAGTGTTTTGGGCAAAAATCGAGCGTCCATGCGAAATGGGCAGCCAATACGTAGAGATTTAGTCAATGCAATCTTGTTTGGTCCTCCAGGTGGAAAGCCTGATCGGTAGCACTCGTAGTGGCACAGATGGCTGCCGGCGTGCCAGTTTCCGATTCTGATACGATAGCCATGCTGCGGCGCTTGAAAGGCATCAACATATGCATCCATGGTTCGTTGATCGAGGTTGCATATTTCGATCACATTGGGTACTTTCAAGACATGTTCAAGCTTGTGATTCGTGTCCATGTGAGCCGAGTTGACCTGAAGGAAGTTATTGGTAAAGTATTTTGTTTGTGAGGTTGTTTGTGGGATTGAATCAAGATCGCGAGATTGAATATTGCTAGATTGAGGCTGGGTAGTTGGTGTGATCTTCTTTTGAATGTGAGAGTTGAGGATGTGAGGTTCGAATGAGGTAGTAAACATTTGATAAGGGTAGGGGATGGACTGAGGATTGAATACAGAAGCTAGGAGGGTGAAGTGGTAAAAATTTGGAAAAGATAGTTAGAATTTTGACTGGCCAAGTAACTTTGAAGAGTGGGTGGTAAGAATTGGATAAGGTAGTGAGACTTACATATAGGTAGTAACTTGATGTGTGTGGTAGTGAGAATTTCAATCGACCAAGTAACTTTGATGGCTGGGTAGTGATAATGTGATGAGGTAGTGAGACATACATGTAGGTAGTAACTTGATGTGTTGGGTAGTGAGAATTTCAATTGGCCGAGTAACTTTGATGGGTGGGTAGATGGAATTTGAACAGATAGTGAGATTTACATATAGGTAGTAACTTGTTGTGTTGGTTAGTGAGATTCTGAGATGAGGTGGTAAGTTTGCCTTTGGGTGCGTGGGGGGAGGCAAGGCCCCCCCTTATAGAAATGGGGACTTGGTAGAATTTTGATATGACCATAGATCCATCTATCCATCTAGTCATTTCTACCTGCTAAAAAATGGATAGCATTGGGTGATGCACATACCTGTATCATCTAATACACTTGGTAAGTATGGGTAAACACAGGTGCAACTGACGACAAGCTCGATGAGGAGTCCGACAACGATTCGACCCATTCCCCAGATCACAATGCTTCTGAATGTGACTCTGACGATGATCGAGTTGGTCCTACTTCCAATGTGGCTCGGGCGGTACGAAAAGTGAGTAATTTCTATGTCTTTCTATTGTTTTTGATGATAACATTCATTGCTGATCTGTTTCATCTGTATTTAGGCCAAGAAGTTCAACGGTTTATGTACCCGAAGCTCAGCAAGACGGCAGGAATTTTCAGCCAAGGCCGAACAACTTGGCTACAAAGGTCGCCAACCAATCTCCGGCTGGGGAGTACGTTGGAATATCGATGTGGACTACCTTAATCGGTTGAGTGAAGCTCGTGACGTAATTACAATATCCCTCACTTCTTTACTTTCACTTTATTCATCTTTTGTTCTATCTCTTTCCTTTCAACTGTTTCTGTTTTGTAGGTGGTAGATGCCATCCTTCTCAGTGATCGAAAAACCCGATACTACCAAGGCTTAAATATCAGTGAAGATGAGTGGGAGTCAATTGAGACCCTAGTTAAAATCCTACAGGTACGTTCTTTCTTTTTCTTTTTCTTTTGTTTTTGTCTTCATTGAATTAATGATGTTTCCTCCTGTCAGGTCTTTTTGCATGCGACCAAACAAATGGAAGGTGATGCAGCAACTGGCTGTGTTTTACTTGCCGAATATTCAAGGCTTATCCTTGAGCTTGATCGGCTCCAGGTATCCAATTTTGATGAAGACCTCAAGCACATGCTCAACATCATTATTGCAAAACTTGAAGGGTACCAAGCTGAGGCAGTCGCCTCAGATGCAGTCGTCCTGGCCACCATCCTCAATCCTCGTTATTGCACACGTTTCTTTGATCTCAATTACCCGGATGACGCTGTCCGAGCCAAGTCTATCTTTTCAAGTGCTTTTGAAGAAGCCCTTGCGAGATGGCCCAACGACCCTGTGGCTTCAGATCACGTTAAAGAATCCGCCTCCCCTACCTCTTCCAAATCCCCTGTTACCAACTTCGACGAATTAGATGTGTTTACAACCGACATTGCTTCTCAGTCACCTGCCGATAAGCGCCGAGAAGAACACATGAATTATATTGAAGGTGGTCATCTGATGCTAGCCGGTCAAGATGAGCTTAGTTGGTGGAAGGTCAGCACTAACTTGAGTTCACATTATCAATTTGTTTGATAACTGATCTCTTTTTTTTTGTTTGCAGGAGCACGAGAAGGACTTCCCTGTCCTTGCCTCGATGGCTCGTGATTATCTTGGATTGTCTGCCACGTCTGCTCCTTGTGAGAGGACTTTTTCTTCAGCTGCAGACATCGCCGTGCCTGGACGAGCTTCCTTAACAGGCAAAATGATACAGAAGCTTGTAGGTGAACGCGAGTGGTTAAAGTCGAAAATAAATTTGTCTGGTAAATTTGCAGAGGCTATAGCTTATGTCCGAGCTTATGAAGCTTCTAATACCAAAGCTAAGAAGTCCAAGTAGTTTTTTTCTATATCTCTTTCTATCTATTTCTTCTCAATTATCCTATCTAAACGAATGACTCAAAAATTCAAAAACAATGTTCGCGTCCTTTTGTTCTCTTTCTATCTTTTTCTTTTGATGTGCGTTTTGTGCCTGTTCTTTTTCTTTTTATCTTTTCTTTGATTGATCGATCTTTCTTGATGAGACCAGCTTTTTATTTATTGTTTAGTTTCCTACTTTCTTCTTACTCTAGACGAGTCTTGTTATTTTTCTTTCAAACAATTGTGTGTGTTTTTCATTCCTTGTCCGTTCTCAACACTTAAACTATCCCCACTCCTTTGCCTTCAATGATAAAATAATTGTCGGCCTAATTTTTTTTTTCCCGCTTTTTGCCGCTATCCCGACCAAATTTTGACCATAGCAAAGCGGAGCGGAGCAAGAAGTCGCACCGCTCTAAAGTGCCATTGCGGCTCCAAATCTATAGCGGAGCGGTTTCGCACTAATCCATAGCGCCAAATTGCTCCGCCCTTCAAAATCTCATTTATAGCGGAGCGGAGCGAAGCGCGGTGGTGTTGGGTCCTGAGTGGTCTAAAAACCTGGCCCGCTTCTTGCTCGACACTACGTAAAGTGCCTGAGAAGGTACCTGAGAGCTATGTCCTAGCCTACTGGGATGGTGGGTGGGAGCTAAAAATTTTTGTTTAGCAAAAAGAAAGGACAAGAAGGAAGGAAGAGAGAGAGCTTGAATACTCTATTTGACTATGCACGGGAGAAGATTTGGAAAATTTGGAAGTGAGGATATTTTTTCCCTCTTCCTCTCTCTGTATCTTCACCTTGCACTTCCTTGTCGTGTATGTAAAGTTACATGTGCACCTAGGTCTCTTCTTACCCTCTCAGTGTCGATGGAAGTGTCTTCACATGTCGTGCCTTTGGTGGGAAGAGTCATCCCTCAGGACCCTGGAATGCGCCTGCAGAGGTTACTGACGTAAATTCCGACCTTTTTGTGGTAAACTTTTCAAAAAATCCCGAATTCCGACCTTTTTGGTCAGTAACATCATTTTTCTGGCGGGATTGGGCCTGATAGGGCACTGCTTCCCTTGTTGGATGGAATTGCAGCTGCAGCGCTATCAAAGCCGCTGAGACCCCCGCGCGACCAAAGACTTCTTTGGAATGTCTTCCAAGGACAGCTTGAGTTGCGTTGGGTATCATCATTCCAAATACCCTGGATCACTTTGTTAATTGAGCCAAGTCGTTACAACCAATGAATCAGTAAAACTGAAACAAGGGCCCAGGTTGGTTTGAAATCACTTAGGATCTCTTGGCCACCTGTTTCAGCCTTTCTTTGATGTATAGTTTACATTCTTTTTATATAAAAGCTTTCCTTCTGTTAATCGATTGTGTACTTGTCATGGTATCTCTAATAAAAAGTGTTATCTAACCTTTTCAACTCTTTTTTATCATTTTTAAACTCCAATCTTCTCGCAATTATCCCATCTCATCATCCTATCATCCATGCTTTGTCTCTGCTTTGAAAGCTTTCCTTTAGTGCTTCAGCACGCCTAGAAAACCTTTTGAATCTGTGACCTCTTTGCTGCATTGGATCTCTCCTGTAGTGCTTCAGCACACCTAAGAAACCTTTTGAAATAGTGACCCCTTCTCTGCTTTGGAATCTTTCCTTTAGTGCTTCAGCACGCCTAGGAAACCTTTTGAATATGTGTCTCTTTGCTTTGCGGAATCTTTCCTTTAGTGCTTCAGCACGCCTAGGGAACTTTTTGTTGTAGCTCTCTTCACACATGCGTTTAGGCTCAGACAGGCCTTATGGCATTAGTATTTCATTACCAGACCACATCAAACAAAAAATGTAGATAAATCTGTCCATCACTAAGTAAGCAACACATCATTCGGTTGCACAAATGCTATTCATCTTCTAATCCTTCAACTTGAGCGCTTTTCAGAGCTTTTATCTGGCTCTCAAATGCTTTGATAAAGGTCGAGGCATTGAGAGAAATCATAAAGCGACACTAAACAGAAGGTACAGAGTATCTACCTTCACCAATGTAAGAAAAGTTAGAGCTTTGCAAAGGTGGAAAGACATATACTATGTGAGATGCCTCCACGCGAGCAAAAGTCCACTTATCTGGAGTCATTATCTCAGCTACTGTTCCTAATGGAACATGTGGGTTATACACAAGAACCAGGATTGAAACATATGAAAGTTCATCTTGAGTCTTGGCACTTTTGACCCAAGCGTGCTTCTTGTTTTTGTGAATATATACCGCTAAAGTTTTGCCAGGGTAAAGTCTCTGCCAGCCACATAAAATGTCAGCGAAGGCGCGAAAATCTCTTTAATTCAATGAATGAGGTATCACTTACACTGTTCTTGACAAACACTACAAACTTTCCATTCTCAATAGGATTGTTAGCGCTGATTCCACCCCCAGTGATAGAGTTTTCAAAAGGTATGTCAAGCTGAGTTGAAGTGTTTTGAATGTCCTTCAAGATGTTCAGCTTTAAATTGATGTTCCATTGGTGAATTCGCGAAAGACCAGTGGGTGTAGCTTCAGCATTCTTATTACAACAGCAACAAGTTTACTGCACTTGCTGGGCTTCAAAGCCTCTCCTGGTGACTTGCGCAAGTCATCTATCTTAATCTTGGCACATTTGTTTCCCCTATGCTTTTGAACCTGACTTTTGTGGGCCAATTGTAGCTGAAGTAATCGGGGATGTTCCAAATTGATGCCATCTTGATTATTCAAGACAAATGTATCAATTTTGTGATCAATTCCAGCCAAGTCAGCCAATGCAGCTTGGCCTACGTGCTTCCAAAGGGCTTGACTGATTGTGATTGAGAATAGCAGACAAAGACATTGCCACATTATCAAAGATTTGCTGGTCAATCTCATCTGGTACATTAGACATGAGCACATCGGTCCGCTGCTGTTTATCAACAGTCTTGGCTGCTGCTGCCACTGCTGTGTCAAGAGAGTTTTCCAGTCCATCCTTGTACACAACATTGTATCTATCAGCCATCCAAGTCGAGATGTCTTCAAGATGATGTACGTCAGAATACTTCCAAGTTGTCATGATGTGAATTCTAGACTTACCTTCCGAGATATTGGTTTCAGATACCACAATAGGGGTATCCACAATGGATACATTGTGTATCCCAACAAAGGCAG